CTTATTAACCCTGACTTTTTATATGACTGTGTGAGTATATTGCCTACTCTATTCATCACATGTCCATAACTTATTTTTTTCTGACTACAAATATTGAGTCACGTTTGGTTAGATCGAATTGTCTCACATGCTTTCTCCGATCCGTTTCGCTTCGTTTCCCTAATTGTCCGTTCAGACCAACGATTGTATAAAATATACGTATTTAAAATCCATTCTTGTGTTTGGTTTATTTTAGTTTCGTTATTCACTAACGCGAGTTAAGTCGTTAGTTATGTATGAGGGTAGCCAGGATGTATATTTCGATAGCAATCAGCGGATCGATCTAACTGGAGTCATATACAGGGCCACAACATAACCCGTGTTTTTTACTACATTCGTAAATGGATTAAATTATTAAATTGATCTATTGTGGTTAGAGGATATGTGGAGTAGTTTCTTATATATTCACACTTTGAAATGTTGGAAGTTTCAGGAAACCTTTAATTTATATTGTCAAAAACTACGAACTTGAGTTAAACCATTCACCGGTTATTGATACTCATGTAGAATGACATTGTTTTGTTAAAGTTGTACGAGCTATGGATAGTTTAAAGTTTGGCAGACCAGTTAAACTTGATGGTTCATTTCTGGAAATCTTTAAGGATGGTCTCCCGGTCTTAATAGTAAGTCTGGTTGATATATTAGCTAGAGTTTAGGATATAGATGTTACCCTAGCTAACTAGTCTCGATCGCTGGTTATGATGGCTACAGTAGAATTAGTTTACTTAATAGTCTTTAAAATATTGGTCTTAATACTCATCCAATACGCAACTAAGGCTTTTAAACAGCGAAACCCTAGTTCCGAACCTTAGTGTGTTTTGATTGATCACATATTAATGCTCCGCCAGGTTTCCGAAGAAATCCATGAATTCTACTGACCTGTCAGATACTAATTCACAACACAAATATTGCTATCAACATTAACCAGGAATTTAGCATTTGAATAAATCTTTCAAACCAACCAATTGAACGATAATTTCACGCTCACCAGGGGCTAACTTCACCCGACTGTAGCTGCTACCTTGACATGACGGTCGGGCTTCCCTATCGTGATGACCCAACCGAGCTATATTGGCTGGAACATATGTTCCTGTAGGTTCTATCATGCCAGGCAGGTCGATTGGAGAACGGTGAGAATAAAAGCAACAACTCAAGGTCTGAGAGCGAAGCCGTACTTCTGACTGTAGAGAGGTGTGAAAGCAGTAAGGTGTTCCCCTCGGACAACCAGCATCTGCAGCGATGCTGCCTTCCCACAAGGAGGGGTGGGGTCAGAAGAGGTCGACCCTAAAAATGTCACACCTCACCTTACTTCATGGATTTCCGTCTCCGGCGGTAAGGCCCTTTGAAGAACGGAGCTAACACGTTAAAAGCCTCCCTCAGAAAGGCCGTGCGCGACCGGCCTCAAGCAGTTGTCTCTTGGGCTCTGCGGTTAAGGCCGACATTAATCCGAATTCCTTTTCAGGTTCCTCAAGAAATACCCTTCCATGGTGTGGGCAGCCGGGAAGTGACACCAGCCCTTATCCTTGTAACAGCACACGAGACCAAGTTGGTCACATTCAAATCCTTCCTACACCTCTTAATACCACTCTTATCTCCCCGATTAACCCTTCTCACGTCCTTTTTTCACCTCGCACCGCTAGTGCAAACGATTCGAGTACGCGGAACGCTATTCCTGGTCTGAAACCACGCTCTAAACTACACGTAGGAGCTTTTAACGTCCGAACACTGTGCGAAATAAGACAGCAGACTTCCTTTGCTAGGACTTTAGAATCCCGCGCCATCGATGTATGCTGCGTCTCCGAAACGCGCATACAGGACCCGAGTAGCGTCATTTATTTGACCTCACCATGCCAAAACAAAGAACCGACTCGATACACACTTCGTGTATCTGGAAGCCCTGATTCTGCTCCCCGTGGCCTCGCCGGCGTAGGTATAGCATTGAGTCCTAGGGCAGAACTAGCTCTCTTAGAGTGGATCCCAGTAGACAGTCGTTTGTGGGCTGTCCGACTGAATGGAACAATAAGGATCCGAAAAGATAGGGACACTCGTCGTTGCCTCTTAGTCGTCTCTGCTTATTCTTCCGCTGACTGCAGCACAGATGATGTAAAAGATGAGTTCTACAGAAAACTCTCCGACCTTCTCCGAAAAGCTAGGCGCTCGGATGTAGTAATAATGGCCGGTGACTTTAATGATCAAGTAGGTAAACTAAGCGATAGGGAAAGACACCTGGGTGGACCTTATAGCATCGTGGTTCAAAGAACAGATAATGGCGACCATCTGTTGCAGCTATGCTCAGATAACCGCCTGGTCCTTGCAAATACTAATTTTAAGCATAAGCAAAAACATCTCTTAACATGAAGACCCCCTAATTCGTCCCAACGTTGGACCCAAATAGATCACATCGCTATCAGCCACCGATGGAGGGGCTCGATATAAGACTGTCGCTCATTCTGGAGCACATGCTTAGATTCAGATCATGCTCTAGTACGAGCGCGTATCTGTCTGCGTCTTACTGGACGTAGGAAAGACGCTGGAAGGAAACCTCTTAGGGGCCTACTTAATGATAGTCAAGCTAAGAGTATATTCCAGGAACAACTAGAAAAACAGTTAGGCAGCCATGTATGTGATGCCCACCCCGAGGCATTGTGGAATGACATCCGAAAAGCTGTGGAAACAGCAGTGATATCCGCTAGTACGGTAAACCGTAAGGTTAGGGAGCGACACTGGATCTAATCTCATTCCAGTTGACTCTGAACATAACGAAGAGCGGAGTCAGCCTAAACGCAACCTGAAAAGAAGCCTACGCAATGATCGTGAACAGTGATGGGTAGCGAAAGCAAGAGAGATGGAAAAACCAGCGGCAATAAGTAACAGCAGACAATTGTTCAGACTTGTTAAGGAAACCTGTATTAGGAACCCGACTGTTAGCGAAACTATCCCAGAAAAAGACAGAGATATTATACATTCTCAATCCCGGAGATCGGATCGATGGGCAGAACACTTTAGGGATCAGTTCAACTGGCCTTCAGTGGGAGTGGAAGTAATCCCATCTGACTGGTCTCAATCACTGATTGTGCCAGTCTATAAGAAAGGACAAAAGTCCTTTTGTGACAATCACAGAGAAATCAGTTTGACGAATATAGTGTCTAAAATATTAGCTTCAGTAATACTTCGACGCCTAACTAAAGCTCGTGAAGAGCAGAATAGAGAAAACCTGGACGTGGTTGCATAGACCAGATATTTACATTACTTCAGGTTCTAGAACACAGACACACGTTCAGACGTCCCACAATCGTAGTATTTCTCGACCCTAAGGCAGCATTCGACTCTGTTGATCGTGAGGTTCTATGGCAGTGTTTGTCACTGAAAGGAATACCAAAGAAGTACATTAACCTTATGAAGGCTTTCTACTCGAACACAACTGGTCGAGTGAGAGCTAATAGCGAACTGTCGTCAGAATTGATTACCTCAAGTGGCGTTCGTCAGAGCTGTCCACTCTCCCCATTCTTGTTTAACTTTGTTGTTGACGTACTTTTAGAGATAACACTTTCCTCATCTAAATTTTTAGGGGTTGAACTTCTACCAGGAGATTCACTTGTTGACTTAGAATATGCTGGTGACATAGTTCTATTTGGTGAAGACGCTGACAAAATGCAGAGTCTTCTGACCACTCTAAGCAACAATGCAAGCATGTTCGGCATGCGATTCCCCCCCCCCCGAAATGCAAAATGTTACTTCAGGATTGGGTCGCATCGACACTCGAACTAACGATAGGGAGTGAAGTAGTTGAGCGCCTCACTTATCTTGGAAGTCTCATCAGCCCTTGTGGTCTGGTGTGTGACGAAATCTCAGCACGGATACAGAAGGCTCGATTAGCTTTTGCCAACTTGCGTTATTTATGGAGTAGGCGAGATATCCGTCTATCAACTAAAGAACAGGTTTACTGAACAGTAGTTCGTCCCGTCCTACTTTATGGCAGTGAAACATGGCCGGTAAGAGCAGAGGATATTCGTAGGTTACTAGTATTCGATCATAGATGTCTTCGAAATATTGCTCGTACATCCTGGGACCACCGAGTAAGTAACTCAGTTGTTAGGAAACGGATAGTAGGTGAGGATGGCAAATCAATTGATCAAGTGGTGAAACTTCATCAGTTGAGATGGCTGGGACCGGTGTTACGTATGCCCAACCACCTACTGCCTTGACGTGCGATGCTTTCTGGTGTAGGAGTAATTTGGAAGAAAGCTAGGGTCGGCCAGACCAAAAAATGGCGCAAACCCATGAAGTCACTGACAAGTGAACTGAGTCATGTTGGTAGGTGTAGACTACCTGGTTGGGGACCGCGAGATGATAGCAACCGATGGTTTGGGACCTTGAATGACATGGCTCAAAATCGTTTGCAGTGGCGCAGGTGTATCCACTTTTTGTATTCCTCCAAACTCTAATCTTCTGAATCCCTCATTTTCTTTCGAAATTTATTTCACTGTATTATACTCTTTAAATAACATCTCCAAACCCTAATCTTCCCGATTACTGCTTATACTCTTATTACCTCTACCACTACGGGATTGGAATCGATAACTGCATCTCGAAGTTCCAAGTTTTTACTGACTGAAGGGCTAACTTTAAGGTAGATTTCCGACGTTTCACTGGTAATTCATGACTAGTGCACTTCAACTATATTGAACTTGAGACAGATATTATTAATGACAGTAAATGTGACACACTATATCTAGAACTGACCGAATTTAATAAGTGTCTACTAATAATTAATTTCGAATCAGTAGTTAGACGACAACTTTTGAAATTAAGGACTTAGTCTTTGGTGAGGTCATAAGTGTTCACAATGATAAGGAGTGCTAAACTATGGTAAATAACTACCCAATGTTTCTTGGTTTCCATCAGTTCTCCAAGTGAAGTCAGTATGTGTCGAAATCTATATCACAGAACAAGGGAATTAATCCAATAATATTAATATTTTTATCTATAACAATTAAATTATTCATGATTATAAGATCAATCATGCAGTGTGTATTTCAAATATGTAAGTTAATGCATACTTTTTCCCTACTTAAAATTGGGATGGTATCATTACATTTTTCAAAAAGTAATGTCTTAGTCGATACTCTATGATTATTATTATTATTATTATTATTATTATTATTATTATTATTATTATTATTATTTAAGAAAGAATTCGTTTTCATTTACATACGAATTTTTAGTCGCCTATTAGGTGATGACACACGACTGTAAGTTTTATTTGTATTCATAGATGGATGGTGTTTCGCTTCCAATTTTTGTAATTGACGTGTAACTCGACCAATTATTTCAGCTTGTGATAATGGACGAATTGATGTTGGTGTATTTTCATCATCATTTGTATCATCTTCATCTCTTAGAGTATAGAAAAAAGTATAAGTGGAAATTTTATATGATTAGTATGTTATAGTTTGATGTGTGCTACTTATATTTTTGATTCAACAAGTGGATTATGCATTGAGAAGTTGAAAATCATCGACTAATTATTTTTATTCTGGATAGTTTTTTTAAGCGTGGATCTGTGATCTTTACGGTTCAAAAATTCATTTTTCCACGTACAATGTATACTTATATCACTTTTCCTATACTTAAGTTTGTTTACATTCAATTTGGCCAAGCCCTTTAATTAGCTTATTTAATAGACAATGTTATTAGATGAGTATCAATTCCCAGAATTCCACTATTGATCAATATTTTTCTTATCTATGGTTAAATTTAATATTTTCTTCATTCAAAAATTTATGCTTTCGTTATCCAAACTAATCTTTGTTTGTGTAAATGAATAATTTTGTAACTCTAGCACACGAGAATCAACATTTTTGGCCAGAATTAAAGCTTTGAAGACTGAACTAAACTTCGTCAATAAAGAATAGAGCATGTCTACAAATAGAATATCTTCAAACATAGCAACGGTGACAAGATTTGAAGAATAAAATGGCTTAATTTCATTTCGAGGCTTCTGATCAGCTTCAAATTGCTTATAGTCACAAACAGTAATATAATTACTTACAAAAATTTGATATATTTTATTTAGTGAAGTTGAGCTGGACGTTTGGGATGGAACGAGAAGTCAAACTCAGATCCTTCCGTCTCACATGTGAAATTCTGACCTCTAGACCACTGTCCCGGGATCCAATCGTATACACGTCTAGATTCAGTCAATCACATTATATACGGTCGAGAATATGATGCTTTTAGTGCACATTGTTGGCGCTATTTTGGCGGAGCCATATAGATGTTAATGTGATGCATATTTTATTTACGTTGCGTACATTCTGTTTATAAACCACATTGATACAACATAGATAATGAAAGTCGAACATCAATCGTATCTAGAATAAGTATATTTCTGACGTGCAAATATTAAACGACAGATAGACAATAAAACATTCGGCAAATGTATAAAGTATTAGAGTTTGGCTGTTCACTGATTCAGAGAACAACTAGGTGATCAAGCTTTAATAAGCGCGAGATACAAATAAGTGTATTAAAGGCATACGTACTATCGTACACACATGATCAATACTACACTTGAGTAATTGACAATGTCAAATAAGTGTGTAATAGGATAACTGGGATGATTAGTGTAATTTGTTTTCTCAGAAGTTAGAATAAATCTCTTACACAAGTAGCAATATGGATTGCTTCATGATAAAAATACAAAATTATCATTGAGCATGTTTCAGATATTAATTAAGGTTACGGAGTGAGTTGTTGAGATATTTGTTAAAGTAATAATCTTACTGAAATGAAAATATAGTGAAAATGCTAGGAATGATAAAAATAAAAATATATTCATATTCTGGAGTAATTTACGTATTATTAGAAGGTATTCATATGATTTATTATTCTTGGATGATTACATCATGCGAGTTGGAGCATACAAATGTGTAAGACTGAAATAAATAACAAGCTTAAAAATATCCACATAAATGTATTTTAGCAGAATGGATTCTTGTGGAGATTTTTAGAAATTTCACTGGTTAAAATCATGAGTCAATTGGAGCTAGAACACCATGAAAGGCCTGGAAACACTGGACGGCCGTTTCGTCCTAGTATGGGACTCCTCAGCAGTGTGCATCTACGACCCCCCCCCGCGAGATTCGAACCCAGGACCTATACGTCTCGCGCCAGGCGCTTAACCAATTAGACCACTGAGCCGGCATCCAATGGTGTTAATGTCTAACTTCAACCAATCTACGAAGTGGTCTAGCTTCAATCGGCTCATGATTTCAACCAGTGAAATGTATTTTACTCCAATAAAAAGTTTTCAGACATTTAGTTTAAAATTTCGAAAAAATATCCACTTACTGTAAAGACGGTAATACAAGTGATGTATCTCTGTTTGTTCTTACGGTTTCCATGAAATTTGTTGCCAAAGTTATCTTCGGATTTTCTTGACTTATCTCATCACTATGTCCCTAAAATGTTTTTATAGAATCTATTTTGTCAATTCAGTAAATGATACAATATAAACAAATACATTGATTTGCTTAAACTAAATAGTCATTATGTTTGAAATTATGAATTTATATTATAGTATAGGATGTCGATTACATATTAACTGGAATAATTTTATGGGAATACGGGGTGGAAACTGTTGGAACTAACAAATCCTACCAAATTATTTCATAGGTATAAATACCAAGGTTGGACTTGACAGTTTCAAATAAATTGAGCATTGAGTAGAGAGTTAATAATAAGTATATTTATGTTATATCCCAATCGGTAGAAAAAAAATATTTTTGATGTTTCGTGACTTAATGGAAGCAACTTTTTCAGAGTAAATATTATTGAGCTGTATATCGTTGATTATCAGACTATTTCACTCTGTAAGCCTATAGAACACAAACATGAAAACATCGGCACACAGAAATTATCCGACGGCGTTATTATTATACAGAACTTATTTAAGTTAGATCGTGACTGCCACCGGAATCCAGGACATGTATTAATGTTTATATTGAGATCCAAAAGCAGTATCTTATGCTCCAAACACCAACTATCTGGCTCTAATAAAAACTTGTGACCAAGTAGGAATATCAATGCAGCCCTTGCAGAACGTACATATCCCAATAGAAGCTGAACAATTGCTGCCTTTAACAACAACAGTAATGATACAGCCCATAACAAAAACGTATGTAAATTGTTAATTAGTTTGAAGCAATCGAATAACCTTTGAAATTAGGCCTTAAGTTTTATTAAAGTGGTCTAGAATCAGTTTCAATGAATAGTCACAAAAATCTACACAAATAAAGTAGCTGATATATTTGTCAAGCATCTTTGATCTTCTTTCCCTTTTTTTCCATTTGTTTTAGTCGTTTAAGATGTTCCAGCGTTAGAAATTATATAAATATTATATTTCATAATAACGGTCATGGCAAATAGTTTCATGGATTGATAAATTATTATTAACTAACGTCATTTGATCCTCTCGTTATCACTATGTGATAACATTTCGAATGTAAATGTATGTGTATTTAATAAAGGTTGTAATGAAATGAAAATAACTCGTTTAGGTAATCTCTGGGCCTCACCAAACGGATGAATCTGGCATTAAGTACCCGATCGCTGGGACAGCCAAGAAAAGCGTGACAAAGCCTCCAGAGGCTCTCAAGTATCCGATGAGATTCCGTCTAATCAGAACCTGATAAAGCCTTCTAGAATATCAACGTGGCATACTACGATTGGACAATAGCATAACTTGCATACTTGCGGATTGGCTGACTCATAATGATTTTATACCCAATACTAATAGCTCTAAGTACTCCATGTTTTTCTGTCCATTTTTTATTCTTACCCAACAACCACCTCCCCTACTTTCACCGTCTTTTGATTTGCGACTGTAGGGTTCTACATATTGAAGTGCCGTTAGTTGTGCACCGCATCTGACGTAAAATGAAAAATTGACATTAATTTATCGGAACAGAATGAAACTCGTATCCCAAACGACACTGATGACTGTAACCAACTATGAACAAAATTAAATCACGAGCGATATCAAAGGTGTCATAACAAAACAAGTGAGTGTTCTATCATAGAGTGTTCAGATCGGAAGTCGACAAGAAATGCTAGGCCAAAATTAAGTGTTGCACAGCACTTGTAAGTAATGTGTACTTGCAGTAATGAGGGAATTGGTGCTCCCTGGTGATCTCGATCTTCTTTCACTTGGATCCACAGTCACTGTTGAGGTATTCGGACCACGACTGACTTCCCGTACGTTACAGGGAATTCTACAAATGTGAATAATCGCTAGATATAAAAGGTTTTGAATAAAATATTATTACTATTTCTTACTTTAGTTTGTGAATAACATTTAACTGATAATAATTCATCTACTCTTTGTTCTAATACGTTAAGATAAAGCATTAAATTTCGTTCAGTTATTTGATCACCATCACCGCCAAGCATTTCGGTTATTCTAGATAAATCACAACCAAGTTTTATAGTTAACTGTTTTATTTCTGTTTTAATTTGATCTAATAATTTATGTATATGTATTGTACGATTTTCAGCTGTATTAGCTGCTTCTTTATCGGACTTGATTTGTGCCTAATGAATGCGAAAATATAAAGGGAGAAACTATAAAGAGTATGACATTTTACATTATATAGTCAATCATAAACATAACAGGATCCGGCAAAAATGTATGCTTAAAAAGTCAATCCCTTGATAATTTTGGATAATGCAACGACAAAGGTAAAGGTTATCCGAACTATGTGACATATATGCTTGAAAAATTTCGGACAATCTGATCACAAATATACTAATTAAGACATTACACACGGTAAAACAAAATTTCATCTAGACAAACTGGAACGTAAGAGGGAACCAAGACAATAATAGTACTAAAGTACATAGTGTGAAAACCACGCTGGATAATAAATCAGCATTATCAGGGTAGGTTAGGATGTAAGAACAAACTGTTTCAGGATACATAAAGAGGGTTTCAGTCTTCGTCCAACCAGTTCTTCAAGAAACCTCAGTATACGCCATTTATTTAACACCACAAAGTTTGACTTGATATCAATCGTGCGATCAGTTTCAACCAAATGATTCCCAATGGAGGAAGGTAGTTATCTTCTCCATTTTCTTATTCAGTCATTGGGGGTTAACTGTTTTGACATTCATTCAAGTGTGTGATCAGCCACCCTTTCGTTTATATCATAATTGTTCCTCCCGATGTCCGTGTTTCCGCACATACATGTAAGACTGATAGATATAATGCAATATGACATAATTATTTACTCGATCTTTGTGATTTCGCATGGACATAGACCCCTTTAATGATGATCAGTTGAGCTGCGTAAAATATCTTGCTCATAGCAAATTTGATTTTTCGTTTCGACATAAGACTAACTGAGCCGCCTGTGAATGGTGGAGTATTTACCGTCGGGTTAACAATATGTCATGTTTGATGATATTAATAGCTCTGTATGCTAGTTTAAAGATTGAATTTCGTAATTTGCTAACTACCAAGTGTTTTCAAGAGGTGAGTCGTACAAATGTTTACTGTTGGACGTATTTATCACTGATTCTTGTAAACGCATTTTACGTTTGAACGTTTTAAGTTGGATAGATCTAAATAGGTCGTTGTCAACCTTAAATTTAATTGAGTAAGATGTCCTTAGCCTAAATAATCACTGTATCATGTGATCGCATATTTCTCATACTTTGATCGACCATTATTGCATGTCGTGCAGCAGTGCGTCTTCACTACTGATGTTATTGAACAGAACGACGTACATTATTATGATATAGCTTAACTTTATAACTCCTTGTTGCTTCTTTTTTTGAAAGTATAACCAGTATCTACTGCAGTCGTGAATTCACGACTGAATTATATTTAAATGAGATCAAGGTTAAATGAAATTATAGTACGTATCAAACGTTAGATTGATACAGGAACGATAGCTGCATCAGTCTTATGAAGAATAAATTAACAAAGTCCAAGTGGAAATTTGTTCTGTCGTTTAATCCCAATGGGATGTTTCTTACTGAAGATAAGCATTTCCCTGTATGCTCCCCTAACATAAACATGAGTAAAAAACATCAGTCCTTAAAAAAGTGCTAGGCAACTTTCTGGCTCAATAACTTCTGATGATATATTCTGAACAGTATGGATTTAATATTACAAAGCCAGTTGCCCATGGAAACGTCGTCTGTAGCTGGTCCTTTTCGAGCTAGCTCATTGCTTCCGATAGTTTCATCAATATCATCTGGATTTTGTCCACAAGTTTCTCAAGATGAAATCTTCATCCATATTGAGAGAAACCGAGAAGCGTCAACAACTTACATATCTACAAAAAAATGTAATTTTATTAACTTCATTGTATGTTCATTTTTCCATTTTTCACTTATATTACTTAGTTAAACTATTCAAGGTGGTTATGATTGGATAACTTGGTAATGGTACAATGTTTGTAAAGTTTTCGATTGTATCGAGATGTTCGAATTCACCTTTTTAAAATAACCAGATTAGTATTAGACCAATGAAATTCCAAGTCGAATATATCAGGCTTTGTATTGTAAAACTTGCGGATAAGAGATCATATCTATTGATTGCCAACAACTAAGTTTCTGTTTTTAACTCTGATCTATCTACTTCAGTTTGAGAAACCAGGATAGTACCATTAATCTTTACATAGAATGTGTCTCGGTGTTGACCACACAAATGTATTCTTGATTTATGGATTGTCATAATTGATAGATCAATCATTTTAATATGCAAAATAAGTAATAATACAAACAAAAAACGTACCTGTAATTCAGTCATTTTATTAACTCTTTGTCTTTCAATTACTTTTTGTTCTTCATCGTATTCATTAATTGTTTTCTTTATATTTATGATATTATCATTTAAGCATTCAATCTAATCATATATAATTTGTTTAAGTGTATTATTAATTAGTTATTTCTTTTACCTGATTGTTTAATTCAGTCACATATTTAAACATTGTAAAGTTATCATCTTCATTACGTTTATAATATCTAGTCATTTGTTCAACATCAGATTTTCCAGTGATTAATTGTAAACGATTCATTGCTGATTCATATTCTTGAATTTTTAAACTTCTTTGTTGTTGTGCTATTTCACCAGTAGCACCTAAATAAATTTTTTAAAAAAAAGTGCATTTAGTAACGATAATATTTATAATTTCATTTAGATATTTAGTGAATTACGGTGAATATAACTATGAGATTTGTTAGAGCATCACTAAAGACAAATACTTCATTCAAGTAATTCATCTATGATATTCAACCATTGAGTATAATGTTTACCATTTCATGAAAAAGTAGAACTTTGCAAAATTGTATTTCACTTCATTCTACTTTAATAATACAATAAGACAACTAACTAGATGGAAAAAATATACGTAAATATGGACGAATTCCTTTATTATTATTTAAAACAGTAGTAGTGTGGTACGTGCTACTGATATTGACATAAGTAGTATATAACACGAGTCAGAAATGTAATGTCTGGCAGCAGAAGATTGGGAAGCTCAAGAAAGGAAGAACGGGAATAGAAAGCAATTAGTATAGAAATGCAAGAACAATGAAGTCCGAGACAGTTATTGAACATTTTGCGAATTGGGTATTATAGTATGGTTTTTCTGTTTTAGCAAGTAACTCTGAATCGGTTGTCCTCACCTGTGTTCTCCTTCACTACAGTAGTAATAAATGTGGACGTAATTTCACTCAGTTCATAAATTTTAAATCCAATGAATTTTGGTTCTACAGCAATTTTAAATAAAATATAATTCAAGATGTTAGATGATTTGAGGTAGTCAGTAAGAAACTCTGAAGTTAGTAGGCATTAGTCAACAAGGTATACCTAGAACCTTAAAGGGATTAATGCAGGTTACACAGGTTCACAGTCTAAGATGTTATTGACCATCTGACATCCCAAAACAGAGCAAAAAATTTTGAGTTATTTAAACTAATGGTCACACTGAGAATTGTTTGGTAAATTCTTATCCATATTAGAGCATTAGATAAGTATGAGATTAGTTAGTATTCGGCGATCAATCAATTTTGCAGCGTAACTAATTAATCATTAGATGCAAAAGTTGGTAACACCATCGACAGTAATTCACAAACTTATAGAAGAAGGCTAAAGTATTGTCAACTGCCGTCTTAGTACAAGCGACTGGTAATATTAGGTAACATAATTCAGAGTTTAATACGGTAGTTAATTTACAGTTAAATATTCAATTTATACGTTCGTCTTTCATTTGGCTCATAAAAACTGGATCTTTATTATATATGCTGTCATACCGAATGTTATATTTTGCAATTTATTTGATTAATCAAAATGTTTAACGCAATTACTTTATCTGTATATATTTTAAAGTGAGTAATTATATTCAATATATATATCTTGTTCAGATAGACGTCTGTGAATAAACCAGTACATTATCTATCAATAGTATGTGCAGCGTGAAATTTCATAAAAGTATGCTGTAAAGTTTAGTAACCCCCTATGCCCAAATTAACAAATTTGGCTCAATTATTGTAATCGATAGTTAGAGAATTTGAATGATGTAGTTTGGAATCGATCAAAATGGGACACACGCTTTCACTTTTTTTTCCTCACTTTGATACAGGGCTTCAATATAATCTTATATTGTAAACTCATAATTTTTCAGTGAATCATATTTCCTTTTCCTAATCTTTCCTATCACCACTGTTTGTGACACTCTGTTGATGAGTCTATTTTTTTATATTATAATAATTTCATCTCGTTGTGCTGAACCCATGTACATTTGTACCAGGTTCTATGTTGCTTATATCTAACCGAAATAAAGAATAACAACTTTCTTTTAATTAAATAATATAATACATTAACAGTTTAGGGGTTGTGGAGATTATTAAGATTTGATTGAGGTCATGAACCGATTGATGTTAAACCACCATTGAAAACCTGGAAGCATTGGATAACCGTTTCGTCCTATTGTGGGACTCCTCAGTAGTGAGTATCCACGATCCCGCTCGAGGGATTCCAACTCAGGGCCTTCAGTCTCGCGTGCGAACGCTTAACCTACCGGATCACTGAGCCGGCATCTAATGGTGTTAGTGTTTAACATCAACCAATCCACGAAGTTGCGCGACCATCTTCCATTGTACCGAGATAGACACCTGTTTCTACCCGACGCAGATTAACTCTACTGGTCACGGCTTCTCACTAGAACTCCGAGGATTGAAAACCAAAGGACTTGGGTTCGAATCCCGCGATCGCGACTGTGGATGCGCACTGCTGAGTAGTCCCACAATAGGATGAAACGACCATCCAGTGCTTCAGGGTTTTCAATGGTGATCTAACATCATCAGTTCATGATCTCAATCAAAAAATATTAATAATACATTCACTTTATATAATAAATGATTCATACTTACCATATTTACGTCGACGATTTTCTGCTTTCTGTTTCCAATCTAAACGTTCATCTGATTTAATTGTCATAAATTTTTTTAATTGATCATTATGATCAATAATTCTTTGTAAATCTTTCATTTCAGTTTCAAATCCAATATTATCTTTATCATTTTTTTCTTTTAATGCATTACTTTTATTTTTGGCATCCGCTCTTAAATTAATAATAATAATAATAATAATAATAATAATAATAATAATCTTACCTTTGATCATATGTAAGACTTGCTTGTTGAATTAATTTAATTTTTAATTTATTTAAATGTATTAATTTATCTTTTAATTTTTGATGTATTGCATAATAAATATTTCGTTCATTTCTAGCACATTCTATTTCATGGCGTATTTTATTATTATATGCTAATGTATCACAAAATTTCATATTTTTCTAGAAACAAAAAAATATTTTGTGTGTGTGTATGTTTACTTACTTCATGTAAATTATTTTCCATCGTAACTAATTTTTTTTCAATTTGTAATTTTAATTCATTGGTCTCAGTTTCTTTTTTAGTTTGTATCATACGAATTTGTTGTTTTTCTTGGATAAGATTTTCTATTTTACGTGTCTATTTTTAAAAAAAAATTTAAATATTTATTTATTTAAGATGAGTTTTGCGGATATTGTAGTAATTTCAATGGTTAAGATCATGAGACAGTTGAAGCTAGACCATCATGGGAAACCTGGAAGCACTGGACGGCCGTTTCGTCCTATTTTGGGACCCCTCAGCAGTCGGCATCCATGACCTTGTCCCTGGCGAGATTCGAATCCAGGACCTATCAGTAACTCTCTGAAGACAATGATGGATGTGTCGCACAATTTCGTGGATTAGTTGAAGTTAGACATTAACACCGTCGGATACCGGGTCGGTGGTCTAGTGGTTAAGTGCTCGGGCGCGAAACCAGTAGGCCCTGGGTTCGAATCTCGAAAGGGGCGAGGTCGTGGATGCGCACTGCTGAGGAGTCCCAAAGTAGGACGAGACGGCCGTCCATTGCTTCCAGGTTTCCCATGGTGGTCTAGCTTCAACTGGCTCATGATCTTAACCGTTGAAATTTATTTATTTATTTATTCTGCTTACCTCATTATCTAAACGTTTTCCATAAGTTTTTAACTCATCAATTTGTAATTGTATATTATCTTGCTCTTTTAAAATTTGTTTTAATTGTTCAATACATTTCATATCTTGTTTTCTATTTTGTTCACTATCTACTAATGTTAACAAACATTTAATTTCTTCATTTTCTTTTTCTAATATTTCTGTAGCTTTTCTAGATTTTGGTTTTGTTTTTGGTAAAATAATTATGTATATTATCATAACATTACTTATATTTTCCTAGTTTAACAGTAAATTCTTCAGTTTGTTTTTGACGTTCATTTTGTAATATTCTTAATTGATTATTTAATCGTTCATATTCTTCAATTAATAGTAAATCAGTATTGTCTTCTTGTTCAGATTGAGCTGAAGCTGGTCTTGGCATTTTTCTGGAGAAATAATGTTGAACTAGATCTAAAATGAAAATGGTTAATGCCTATAATCGGTTCATCATATTGAACAATAAAAAATAATCGATAATAATACAACTACTTATTTTCCAAAGCGGTTGGAGTCAAGCTGTCGAAACTGACCAAAGACATGGTGAAATTCTGTGTTTCATGGTCTTACAATTTTCATTAAATTTTTTAGACCCGATATTGCAATTACATGTACTGAGATATTGGTAATTTATTCTACTGTGACAGAAATCAAAAAACAGAATGTTAATTAGTTGATAGTTTCCTAGTTCAACATTTTTCCTGTTTGATTCTCACTACTGAATTAGTAGTATAGATCTTGCCTTATTGCTCGCCATAGTACCGACTAAACTGAAGGAATATGTGCTGCTTTTTAACGCATCAAAATTTCGACTAAGACGCAATAAAAGTTTGATATAGCTCTATCACTTTTGGTTTACGAATATCATCTCATAAGCAGAATGACAATCAATATACAAATGATATTTTATAATGGGGATTTAGGAATGATATACTTCCGAATTTTTTGAACCAGTTTGAATTATGCCAAGAGATACCACATATAAATGTGTAATCTGAAAACCAGCAATATCACAGTAAAGCATATGACTGTGGGCACATAGTACTGGATGAGTTGCAAAGCATGGTGAATAGGAATTAAAGAGGGAAATTGACCACGAATACAGTGGTCTTGAGTGCTGTTAGAGGTATGAGAGCGGTTATCACTTACCGGTTTCGCACACCGTGGAAAGGTTCTTCTAATCATAATTGATTGATCACTGGGTGGTGATCAGTGTCATGCTTGTCTAGTCCTTATTAGTGCAGATCGAATGCTACCGATCATGTTGCAATGTGGCCACCAGTCTAGGTGACTCGACACTGCGGGCACTATGTACTGACTACCTCCAACCACCATCTGAAAGGTTCTTCTAGATTTACCTAGAAAGGAAATTGTATTAGAATTGGTCTTAAGGACATGAGAGGGTGACCGCAATGCCCAAGAGACGACTAATTGAGACCGGTCACACACGATCTTCGTGTGTGTAATTCTTCTATTAGATCCTTACTTGTAGAAACCTTACCGCTGGAGACGGATATCCGTGGGATAAGGGGAGATGTGCATTTTTAGGGTGGACCTTTTCTAAGGCAGCGTAGCTGTTATGCTGGTTATATGAAGGAAACACCCTACTGCCGTCACATCTCTGTATAGTCAGCAGTAAAACTTTACCCTCCGACCCTATATTTTTGCTGCTTTTAGTCTTACTGTTCCTCAACCGACCTGTTTGTCATGATACGACCTTGAAAAACGATTGTTTCAGCCAGTATAGTTCGAATAGTTCATTACGATAGGCAAGTTCGACCACCATGTCAAGGTAACAGAAACGGTTGGGTTATTGATTTTAAGCCTTTAAAATGGATGTAATAGGTTGGTAGACACTTGTTCATTAGCACTCTTATAATTTGCTTGGAGATTTGGGAAAAAATATATCAAAGGGAGGTGACAATGTCTTGTAATTACGTTTTGTCAGACTAATTTTAGACTAGAAATGGTTCATATAAAAATATATTTAATTTTTATCTGTTTTAAAAACAAAGTTCTTGCTAGTCAGCTGACTATAACTGTTTATTATTAGTTTTTTATAACTTCTCATTTTTCGCTGAACAAATTCTATGAACAATAGGAAGTCAGTGAATTTCCTTTGCTCTAACATTCGTTAAATGTTTAGCAGGATTCCATATATTTGACTTTTATTAAGATTAAGAAACATAAGTCTCATGGAATCTACTCACATAAATAAAAAGTCTCCTGTTGACTGGAAGTGCAACGAAAACTTTAGTACTTAAAATCACTGTAAACTAATGTTCCTTAAGTAATGATGCGAAATTTCGTTTGGTGTATTTTTTATGAAAAGAACATCATCTATTATTATCGAATCTTTCGTGATAAATTGTGCTGATGCAAGAAAATAAAAAAATAACGGGTTAGATGACCTTTAATCTAATCTCAATGCTTTATCTAACTAGTCTGAGATATGAATAATGCTTCTTAGCTTAACTGTGACTTCATCCACATAGATCGACATGGTTATATTACTTACATTTCAGCTGAAAGTCTCCAAACTAAGTCCTTACTCATAATACTTTGAGAATCATCATGAAACATGGATTAATGTATGTAGTTCCCTAGAGTTCCATCACGCTTAAGTGTTTTTAAACGATATGAGCTGCAATCGCTTCATTGGTAGCAAGACAATTGCATCTTAAATAATGAAAGAATAGGACAAGGAAAAAGCCATAAATAGTTAAGTAAGAATTATCCTCATTTACAAGTTTCCTTTCATCACAGAATCGAATCTACAGGTAGCGTCACAAAATATGCTGCTCATTGTAGGTGTCAACTTAGACGCTGAACTAAAAGTATCGATTCCTTTAGGCTGGGGGAAGTTAAAAACGAATAAACCACAAAATTAGTGGGTAGTTTCTGATATTAATCTGTTCTCACAGTGGCTTAGATAAATGGTCAGTTATGATTACGGCTCATTGCCATTTCGCTGCAGCTAAATGTTTTATAACGGTTTGTGTGTGGAAGGGAGGCAAACGTAAGTTCAACATTCACTACAGGCAAGTAAGGCACAAACGAAAAATGTATACAAGTCCTCGTGCCCATGGCGACTGAAATTGATTGAAAAGGGTCCCAAAGACCACGAAACATGTAGTTAAGAGTTGGAATAAGCTTGTCATGCTTGAAAAACCTGCTCACTGCGAGAAAAGATTGGGATACAGCTAAATTGAAAGTAATTCTGTAGATGTATTTTTCACAGATCTTAGTAAACCTTTCAACATGGACTCCCATCCGTGTCCTAAATCAAAACTGGAACGTTATGGAGTCCATTATATAACCGTGGACAAGACAAGTAACTTTCTAACGATAAGAGAAAACAAGTGCGCCTCAACGTATTACTGTTATCTTGTTGCAGGTTACGAAATAGTATAATAATGGCTCACCGTATACTGAACAATGATCTGAGTATTAACATGTCCTAAATCTTACTCCCATTCAGGACTGACCATCTGCGAAAACATTCTAGGGAAGTTTAAAAACCAATATCGAATCTTTTAGGTCTAGATTTTTTATACTCTCACAGAATAGTAAATAGCCTGAATTGTCTACTAGAACACGCAATAACAACCCTTATGTTGTCACGTTCAGAGCGTGGTTGGGTATGCACAGTACCACGATTTGTAAGGATTAACATAAGTTCATTGATATCTTATTCCTTCTTCTGAAAGCTCAATAGTAACACATGAAAGCAAGTAGCTTCAAAAATGATTCATTTAAAAGATCAGGGCGAGTTCCAGAAATTAGTGGGCTAAATAATTAGGGTTTACTTAGCATTGCCGACACTTTTGGTTGACTTCTTCAAAGGGTCACTGACCATATATGGAAGCATGCAGATTTCAGATTCAGATTTGTGTAGTAGGGACTGAAGGACTACGGCCATGATGGATAACTAATACAGAGCTAAGTTTTTCAGTCTTTAAAGCATCGATCCGAGTTTAAAATCATACCTTAGAATTAAAAGAGTGGCAGAACAATAGTATTTTCGGAAAAATTTGTGTAACTCAACTTCATTTTATCGAAAATTAATTTCAAATTATTTAAGTACAATGTGCTCCCATTACACATTGAGAATGTTATTAGGCCATAAGCAATGTACAAAACTCTCAGATATGAAAACCATAAGAGTCAGTAATCTGGATTCTGTAGGGAACGAACATTTACAAAAAGCAATAGCAACAGGTAAGGTTAATTGAAAAATGTCCGACACGTAACTATGACAATAATTTAGGTCATTCAAAATTCAATACTAATCTGATGGGATTTTATACTTTCTGAACTAATATTGACAGTCCTGAAACCCCCTACACATCTTATATCTCTTGAAAATTTTGGACAGCCCACTATTTTCTAAAGTTCTAGTATATTCGGCATATATATGAACTTTAGCAGATTTTATGCAAAATTAGTGAGATTTGTTGAAAGAGGTCAGACTTTATGAGGTCAAATAACATCATGTTATCAAGTGGCCGGGGTGCAGATGCATGATGTATGTCGTAGCGTTGTGCCATTCCTCCATAGTCTGAGAGAACAAAAATACCATGACATGTAAAATTAAATGAGTGTATGGTATTTTAGCAAGGTACAGACCCACTGTTTACCGTTTGGCGTATCAGATCATGTCCGATCCAACGACTAATTTGCCAATTGTATTCAGAGTTTGATAACGTTTATTTCTGCATCAGCTTTATAACCAAAGTGTACCAACCAATTCAAACAAAAATTCCGTGGTGTGTAAGTTCAGATATATATTGAAAGGCTGTGGATATGTTGAGATGCGCTTTAACTGAAGATGTCTTGTAACTTAAAGAGATGCGTCACACTGCCTACTCAATCGTTACCAGGTGCGCATGTGTGGCTGGAATTTAAGCTTGGTTTTGTCCAGTGAAATTAATGAGATCAGCGACAATGTCGGAGACCTAATAAAGTTGTTGTTTTGGGGATTTATTTTTATCGACAGTTTTAATGGAGGAAACTTAACAAGTGCTGATAGCGGCATTGTATTCTAACATATCGATGCTTGTTTTATTTATATTTGACCTACACAGAAGTGATGGTGAGTCCCGGTTATCAGAAACAGAAGCTTGTTATGCGAAAGTTGCTTGTATTCCTGACATATCTTCTCGAATAATTAGGACTCTTAGAACATTAGTTTTTCTGTATTTACACCATAGGAACACTTTACGTTAAGTCAATGCTTTCAAACTAATGCGCATGAAAAATTTTTTAAAAATGCAGGAAGTTTGGCAGTGAGGATTGATTGATTTTCAGTTTGTTTTAGTACATCTGACAGTTTAAACAAGTATGTGTCTAATGTGTACTGTTTGAGGTAGGCGGGTTGTTCTAAGTTTTTGCCTCCAGCGCTAGCGGTGCTGTGTTTTCATGTTGCGCTCTGCTGGTTGAATCCACTTGCTGTACACTCAGGTGTCCTTTTGTTTTCAAGGTGTTGAGATTTTCCATTCTTTCACTGGTATTTTTATTTGCGAGTTACCTTTCCGACCTCTGATTTTCCACCTATCTTCTTACAGTTTGGAATCAGTGATTTGGATTAGGCGTCGTTATATAATATAGAATCTTCCAAACTAAATGTGAACTTAAAATATTACTCAGATCGAGATTTGATTTGTGACAAATGTACCAGCCTGTCAGGATTGAATAAGCGTGTATGTCAGCAGCGAGTGTTGTTGTAACATTGGTTTCTACCTTATTATCACTCCTTTTATTCCGGCATATGATGCTTTTTTTAGAAACCCTAGTTACCGACTGTTATGACCAATCAGTGTGTTAGTGCTGTTGAACGGCAAATATTTCAAGTTCTCTTCCGTTTGTAAATGCCTTGCGAATTAAATTGTTAAATCGAGTGTTTTTAAATTTTGGTTATCACTACTGTTGACATAAACAGAAGAGAAATTTAAAAGTGATGTGGTTGCGTGAAAAATGCGTCACTAGTGTAGTGTAATAAGACGTAACTGAGATAAACTTAATTTTCTATTACACAATAATTGTTTGAAATCGTTACGTTACCGGAGTCCCTGTACTTGTTCCCTACATTCTAGCGGCTCTTCATTCAGTTGAAATGACTCTCTAATAGTCCGTCGTCTTATAGTCCTTCGCTCTAGCTTTTTTATTGTCGTTTTCCTCTTTTAGTGGAGAGTGAAGAACCGTTCATGTGAAAATATGAAAAAAAACTAGGAATCAAAATAAGGTACTAACCAATAATTGGGTGCACAAAATTTCTGTTGAACTTAGTCGACGTGAAAGTAACTTAGTATTTACATGGGCTTACATAGTACGTGACACGACTTTCATCTCACCATGGAATATTACTAGACGGTTCAGTCAAATAATACATATGCTGTCCTTCCATAGGATGGTTAGAATCAGGGATTGAATATAGGTTTTTTGTCACAACCCGACAGCTAGAAAGCTATGTAGCAAATATGAATGAGTGAAATTCGCGCCAAAACTCATGACATGTCATTCTAAATCTATTTGGTTCGTCAATAAATTGGTCTTGCTGAACATTTCTTTCAATAGATTCTATTCTCTTCTCCAAACAAATAATCCAGAAAGTTTCCAGGGTCCGGGCGAATTACATCGTTTACAATTATAGCATGTCAATATAGGATTATGTAATAAAATTTCTGTTGAGATGACTAGTTCGGAACGTTAACTGGAATATGCTTATACGTTAAATGTAATTGTGAGATCAATAATTTTAATGAGTATAGATTGGTTGGATTGGAATAATTTATTTGAAAGTACATTCTTTGTCTATATATTGGTGTTATAAGTAACATTGTTAGTATGTAATGTCTCAGCCAGTGTTCTTCTGTTCTAATTCTGACTTATCATAATCGTTTGGACAGTATATTATTTCCTTAAGCGACCACGGTAAGCAGTAAAGTGATTGCTTTCAACCCTGTACCTCTAGTTTTGACGATTATTAGTGTCAGGCTTTCTTATAAAACCGTAGGTAAATTCCTAGTTAAGCTTCAATTAATGTGGTAGTCTTTCTTAGATCTTACAAATCGACTGTGGTCAATTGTATACAAACAACTGACCGTTATGCAGTCTTGGAATATGGTTTCCAATCTTAGATTCGGCAAAATCACTACACTAGGTATTCGTATAAACCCCAATTGCGTGATAGTTTGGGGCCAACTACTCGACCTTACTTGAGCTCTTCATGCATGTTTCAGAGGTAGCATTTACATGAAGTAGTAGTAACTCCTTTAAACAGTTAAGTCAGTTGTCTAGTTTTAAACGAAATATAATCGTTTAGGGTTCAATCCACCCGAAAAGAAAGCTTAATATGATATTAAAAATGTCTGTTCTTTTGTTTAAACAACTAATTTATGCAGCAAAACTTTCGGGGAATGCAATAGCAAGTATTGGTTAGAATAGTTTTATAAAAATATAAGTTTAATTACCACACATGTACTACATTGCCAAAGGTTTAATAGCCAGTGACAAAACTTCACTCCTAGTTAATCGTCCTTGTGTCACAGACAAAGTGTTGTACGAACACAGCCTAAATGGGCTTCCTTTTAGCTTTTAAAATACGGTAAGCATTAATCATTGACGCTAACCGGTGTAGGGGATGGTTGGAAGAAAGTTAGGGGCGGCCAAACCAAAACGTGGCATCAGTGCCTGAAGTCACTAACTTCTAGTCTGAGCCATGTTGGTAGATGCAGACTACGTGGTTGGGGTCCGCGTGACTTTCGTAACCAATGGTTGGAGACTCTTGGTGACGTGGCTCAGAATCGATCACAATGGCGTCGGTGTATACACTGTCTGTCTTTACTTAAGCTAAGAGATTAAAATCACTTCATATCTTTCTTTCTACGAACTAATTCTTTCTTCCTATACTATATCCTTATTGCAATCTTTCTCCTATATATTACCACCTTTGACCTAACCACTCCTATGAATCCGGTGTCCATCTTGTTGTGTTAATGATGTGTGGCAACTGGGACCGATGCATATATGTGCCTGGTCCTACGTTGTAGCTGGCTGGCTGGCCAGAAGTCGTTGGATATGATATACCATTTCTAGGCTGATTTTTCAAGCTCACTGTCGAAAGCTTTGCTCAAGGATAAGTTAGCCGATAGAGATGCTATCATTGTATTCTAAGACATTCAGCACTGTCGCTACGCTACTCCCATAACAAAAAGTAACTAAGTCAACATTTACTAGGTATATGGGCATGAGCCATACTATGTAAGGACTAACAAGAGCATTGTTAGTGACTCAGTGGGCTCCGTCTTTTAATGGTCGCTTTGAAATAAGATAAAGTATGGTTTTTTAGGATCTGTGCTATCAACAGTTTATATAACACAAGGTTAGCATATTTAACTATCAGTATTATCATTTTGGTTATTATATATTTTATACTAGTGCTTTGGGTTTTAAGATGCCTCTTATCAGTACGAAGCTACATGTATTGAACCCGGTATGGAGAAAAAAGAAACCTCGTGATACTGAGCAACACGAAGAACCCGAACCAAAACCAGCATTTATCGTCCCAGAAACTCAAGAAATTTGTACATCTGCCGAGGAACTGCAGCGCAAAATTACTATATATAATGAAAATATATGGACTTGTCGTGTAACTGGGAAACCTAATTTAACTTATCGGGAAGCATTGAAAACTGAAGCAACTGCTATTCGGACACTAAAAAAGTGTTTCCCCAAGTTTTTTGAAAAAACCATCCTTGAGCGCGTCCATCTCAGTAAGCTTATCTGCTCATAAATTTAACAATACAAAAGGTACTCTACCCCTGGAATCCTTGGTACACAGCTGCTGGACCACCATACATGAACAATTTCATATTGCGGAACCTGTGAAACTAAAAGTTGACTCTGTTTCGAATACACCGTAAGTTCACTTAAAAATAAAAACATCGACTTAGAATACGTGGAATAATTGATGATATAATAAAATCTCAAACTGTACCGGTACGATGTGAATTTGTCCTAATTCATTTAATCCTAGACACCTGTTCCGGATAACACTTCACCGAATAATAGTGACAAAGAAAATGTGACTAAAAAGAATTCTCCCATCAAGGTAATTTTCAAACCTTTGTAAAGTATTTTTTCTAGAAAAACTACGCTTACAGTGTTAAAGTCCTTTCGGATATCCCTGTTGTTGTACATGATGTTCCAGCCTGTTCCATTGAGTAAGATTTTCTAATGACTAGTTCTCATTCTTTTAGCCGTATCAACCGAGCACCTTCCAAAGACCATATCAAAATGTTTATTCGAAGTCATGCTATGCGTTATGGACCAAACTTTACAGGTCCATGGATTGTAAATGAGGAGCTTTTACGACGTCATAAAATACCTTTAAAAAGCCCCGGATGTCAAGTTGATAAAGTTAAGGTATGTCTAGTCTACTGTTAATATTTAATCTACTCATGTAAATGTTGCTTTCAAATAACCTTATAGTTTAGAAAACCTCATTTCATTGATATCAGGACTTATATTTCCCCGTTATTGATTCGTAGAAATGAATCAGTCTACTGGCAGTTGGTTACTAGTACTGATATCTAGAATGTACGCTGTTGCAGTACTGTGGAGTCGTTTGGGTGTTTATTTTAAAAAAGTAGACACGTTTCAAGTATTTCTATAAAACTGTTGATTAACAATAACGATCTATGATCTTTCCAACTTTGGTTTACTATCGATTTTTATAGTATGTGCAGATTATCATGTTTTTATCACCGTCAATGATTGTTATAGTTAAAACAAATGTCCAAAGCCCTGGAGGAGGAATACTTTGTACGCGTTATGAACTCCCGACGTCAGTCCAACGGAGAAGGTACATCAGATGATGTTACCTCAAGCACACCACTTAATTTTAAACGTATCAAACGCTTCTCTGTTCTACGTGAAGACAACACTCCCAAGATGCTTGAAGAAAATGAAGATAACTTACCGCTAGCTCAGTTAAAAGATCGTTCTCAATTTAAACAATCATTGGAGGATAGTAGAAAAAAGAAAATGAAACAGGTTTGTTTCTGTGATACTTAGTTTTTAATTTGTGTTTATTTTCTTTATTGAAAGTTCCATCTGAGAAATCTTTGGAGTCGCTTTAGGAAATGAATTTTTTTCGAGACGCTTCCGTCTATCTACGTTAGATGGTTACTGGTATTCGGAGGAGACCTTGAACCTAGGTTTTGTGCTAGTTGGTCGATACTAGTCAACAAGGCGTACCCGGAGTCTTGTGGAAACTGACGTCCTCCATCGGATTCAAACTCGTGTCGCCCAACTGCAAAGTCTAAGACGTTATCAATCAGCTACTGAGACGACTATTGAGTTGTAGGACTGAGGTGTTTATATTGATTGATCATTAAGTAGTTGCCAACGTTATCTATAAACTACAGGTTTGACTTGTCCTCATTTATTCACACTGCTACTATTGTGGTGTGTTTAAATTACTGTTAAGACCCGCAAAAGTTCTGCGTATCATTGGTTGATCGGTTCATAACTTCAGTGAAGCTAAAGGAATGTTCAACATTAACAATACTGTCAGTTGTATATTTTTGGGCTTTCAGTCAGCCCACAGTGGTTCGAATGACTTTTCTGGTCATGATTTTTTAAACGAAGTTTTCTACGGGACAGGGTTGACAACCCCATCCTTCCTTTTTCCCGGATTGGGAACGAGAGTAATCCTAAAAGATCTACAGACAGAGCAATAGGCCTCAATATGCATAATGGAAAAAGCAAGGTCCTCGAATACATCTCAGTGAGCACCAACCCAATCACACTTGGTGGGGATACTCTTGTAGGTGGGATCTTTCACGTAGCTGGTCAGTAGCATCACTGATGAACGTAGAATATCTGATGTAGACGTAAAGGCGAGGATTGGGGAAGCAAGGACAGCATCCGTAGAGTTGAACAACATATGGAACTCAAAACAACTGTCAACTAATATCAAGGTCAGATTCATCAATACGAAAGTCAAGATAGTTCTACTGTAAGGAGTTGAAATTTTGAGAACTACTACAACCACCGTCAACAGTTGTCTACACAGGATACTGAATGTCCATCGACCGGATACCATCAGCAACAGACTACTGTGAGAGAGAACAACCTAGCTTCAAACTGAAGAGGAAATTAGGAAAAGACACTGGGTATGGATATGGCACAGATTGAGGAAATCACTAAACTGGATCACGAGGCAAGTACTAGCTTAGAATCCTGAAGGGAGACGCGAGAGATAAAGACCAAAGAGCACGTTGCGTAGGGAATCGGAGGCAGAATTAGAAAGAATGAGTGGCAATTGGAATCAACTGGAAGGGAGAATCCAGAGTGTATTTGATTGGCGAATTCCTGGTGGGTGGTCTATGTTCATCAACGAGAAGTAACATGTAAAAAATTAATTGAGTCACCCAATGAGCCCTTGGTTAATGACACTGTCAAAACAAGCAACCGTTTTAAAATATGTAATATAAGGTACTCTGTTAAGTATGTTGATAATCAAGCTACTTGAAAAGTCGTACCACCCTTATTTGATTTGCAATTACTTAATATCGGCATCCATATAGAGGTCTCATCAATAGCCTTTGACGTGGGCTAAATATCTGAATTGTAAATTATGTTTGATCAGCATCTTGAATAGTTCGTTTTTTCGAACTCGGGGTTCTCAAAACATACCCGTTTTAGTAAGAAAACATCCACTCAATATTTCTAAAGCATCACTCACTTAAAGAAACCACGAAATAGGTTTTTAAATATTCCTTAAATGTAGGCCAAGGGCTTTCCGATTTCGCTTTATTGAAAAAGCTACCTAAGTATTAGTTTTACGGCAGCTTTTCTATAATAATCACGGTAAATTATTTTTTACTTTTCCTATTTACTTAATCAACACAGTCCACCTTATTTCAATTTGGCAAGAAAACTCCTACGAAAGATGAAATACCAGACAAGTCAGCAATCAATCGTCCTAAAAAGAATACTAATGAAAGATGTGCATTACCTCGAGTTGCTCAACATCTCATCAAAATGTTTGGAGAAGATCGTAATAATCCAGCCATAGAAACTCAGATAAGACTCTGTGCAAAATTCATAAGTGACGTAGATATTCTTAAGTTACCTGTTGAATTACGCGATCCTGTGCGATCAAAGAAAGAAGCGTTTGCGTTCAAAAAAAAGTTGTAAGTTCAATTCAATCCTTCGAATTTTTGTATTATTGTGTAACGAACATGTACTGATTCGTTTGACATATCCAAATAAAATCTCCGATAATGATTAAAAATAAGGCAGCAGAACAGTGTGTAGCTAAGAGATAATTGCTATACTATGATGTCAATCTATTTTGGATGGTTTTAATAATCGCATTGGATTTAAGTTTTGTACGTGGAAATTCCTCTCCTTTGTGGAAAAGTTTGCTCATACGATTCGCCGTAAGCGTTCCGCTTACTCAAGACTACTGTTCTCATCGTTCTCCAAGAACAGATATCTCTTAAAGTATCAACCATCGGTAGTTCGCTGTGTTTTATTTATTTATTTTAACACAGATATTGGTACAAAAAGGACCAAATACATATGCACCACACAGATCTCATTTGATATGTGTGAGAGCTGTCATACTGCCCGGGTGCCGAAACCGAAGCAAGTGGTTTTCTTAGGGGGCCACACCCGGAGCCTTCGACCTAAAGGTTTGGTCCACAAGGCAGTGGAGCAACGTAAGGAGACGCAGTCCCATGGTGGCCGGTGACCAACAATTGGTTCATACGCCATTTGTTCCTTCAGGATACTGGAGCCCATGTGCACCATTGGTTTGGAATCAGGGTTTTCCAACTCCCCTAGATGGATTCTTCATGTCCACCAACCCAGTTAAAGCGCCGGACACTCGCTTTTCGTTATCTCAATTTCGTAAACAACACTCGTGGTGCGAGAAGGCAGTGAGTATGATCGTATCAAAGTGTATTTGATGTGTTTCAATAAGTGTTGTAAATTTAAAATTAAGACGTTTTTCATCGTCATTCGTTTCTTCCGTTAGTTTTTTTGTCTGAGGATTATCCTTCGAAAATCATCTTGTCTTTCCCCAATCTCATCTGCTACAACTAATTTTGTTAATACTTTTGGTACTCTTGGTTTGTTTTATAATTTCATTCCCTCTTTGCTTACCTGGTGTTCATCTTATGCTAATGAGGTGTGGCAACTTGAACTGATCTACATTTTTGGCAATTTTGATGTACGTTACGACCGACTGATGATTTACTGTGTTGTTAAGGCACTCATTTCTTATTGATTTCAGCAATTAGATCCTCCTTTTGGATATTTCTACGGAGAATAACTTCATTGCTTTTGCTTTTTATATTGCCTATTCAACGCTTTTCTAAATGTTAAATACGCAAGTATTTTTTCATTATGATACCTCTCCTGTCTTTTGGATGGATTATTTATTGCGTACCATAAGTAGTGTACTACTTGTAATGCTGGTACTCAATAATTAATTAGCCTTTTAATTATCTACAATTTATGGACCTAGTATCGGGATTGGTCAATCTGTGCTACACAAAACTGTCAGAATAAGTTGTCTTGGAACAATTTTTAGTGAAGAACTTCGCGTCAAAAACATTAATATTGGTTTTGAAATGATGTTCCTAGTTGTAAGCCATTTATTCATGGTAAATGAACCATAATAAAATATCTAACCCCCCACATCACCCTTGTGTTTCTGATTACACTAATTCTGGGCTGTGACTCAACCACTGAAATAACTAGAAAAAAGCTTGGTGACATGTTTTTCATTTCTAATAAAGTGTGTGCTGATTCCTAATACTTATATTTAATGTCCTCATTCTTATGATTTTGAATCTCTAGACTGACTATGTCACCGACTCAACGAAAGCAAGCACTCCAAGAAATGAAAGAAAAACAGAAGATTGAACATATTCACGCTAATAAATTGCTTGATGATCAACATCTTATGACTGCTTTGCCTCAGTGCCCTCGTTTACCTGAACCTTCCAAACTTGAACTTCCTCCTAGTTTCAACGAATCTTTGTTTGGACGCCTGCTAGGATTAACAGAATTTTTCCATGTCTTCCATAGCTTACTTGTTGAAGGATCTGTTGATGATACCGAGGTAGAGAATCCATCTGAAAATAATGTCCTATCTGGCTTTTGTCGCTTTCCAGTCGAATCTCTTGTAGCTGGGGTTGGTGAACCGGGTTATTCTGATGATGATGACAATGGTAATACTGATGAAGAAGAGGAAGAAGCTGGATTAACTGAATCAAATGCTCCACTTCCGAAAATATGTATAAAGTCATTGCGTCGTCTAGGATTGAAACGATTACTTAACGCTGTCACCACAAATAATCCATCAGCCGGTGCCTATCGATCACTAGCACGTCCTTTAAGTGTCCTATTACGCTTAGTCTTAAGAGATGAACAAATAGGTGTAAGTATTATATATTGTGTTAACAAAACTAACATATAATAATATTGTTTTAAATTAGGAACTTAACGTATTTCCATAACAGCATTTATTCACATACTATTCATTTTTCTCACGATAAATCATAGAGCTCATCAGTTTTCCATTCTCAGAATAAAGGAGTTACAACCTGTTTATCGCCTTCACATTCGTGCCTCTGAAGTACACGACTGATTGAACTGTATTCGAAGAATCAGTATTTCATTGACCCCTAGTAATACTTCAATTCATGTAATTTTGTAGCCTTTTTATTTTTTATCACTGTAACCTGGTTAAAGTGTAAGATTTTCCACCTGAGATTTGTGGCAGGGAAAGTATAATCCTTTTGATAATCAGATGCTTATTTTTTAGTTAGCTGTATCTCATAATGGTTGAAACTAGAAATAAACTTGATTATGAATTACATTTACAGTCAGGATTGTAACCAAGATTATACTCTTTTTATGCGAATCTCAGCTCTTAGCTGGAAACTAGCATATTATGGTTCAGAACCCCAGTTCATCTTTTATGGTTTGATCTTGTTAGTAGATTTGGTCTTCGCTCAAAAATGATACTGTGTGTACACTGTACACGGCACCGTAATTTTTCATCATACCATCGTGATTTAATAAAAAAGCGAATGACATGAACGATCCTCTGAGATTCCCAATAACTACCTTTACGAAATGCGGAAAAATTTACAGCAAAGAAAACTTTCCTCGTTAATTTCATTTCCCTAAAAGCTATAAAGCAATTGTGCCTGTATTAACTGATTAATGGTAGTATCAATCCTTGCATATTAGCTTGGCCGTGTTCTCTTAGTGAACGAATTATCTGACCGGTTCGTTAGTGTTGTAAAACATATAAGAAACTAAATATCAAAGATGAATGGCTGCAAATTGAAAGATTATGGTTTGATATTTTAAGGAGGTTGGTGAAGGTCATTCACCTAATATGTATTGGTTTTGAATAAAGGTAATAGAATAATGCGTGATTGATTGAAATTAGTTAATTAGAGTAGAAAGTTGAGGAATGATCAAAGAATGTACATAATTGAACGGTGAAAAAAACAATAGAATATGAATTAAACCCAGAAGAAAATACAGAAATGTAAGGAAAATGACCACACCAACCGTTACAGTACACATAAATTTGACTACACTACGTATCCCTCAAGTTTCTGCAATCAAACATATGATGTCTAGGCATTCATTTTTTGGTAGATTTGGTTAGAACTTATTAGTAATCTCAAGTGATATATCCGGTATTGTATCGTTATAAATAATTACATTTTGTGGAATATAAGATTCCACACTTCATTGTTTTTTTACTGAACCATGCTAGAAGGTTACTTACTTGCCTATACGTACTAACATAAGAATATTTTGGTCACAAAATGAAATTATTGAAAAGCTCAAAATCGAGTATTAATTGTAGTTTGGTTTCAATTGTAAGATAACGGAACTTTGCAAGCATACTATTGCGTTGTGCTTACTGATCAATTGGTACATACATAATCTTAAAATTAGTATTAGAAAGGTAATCATAAACTTTTTTCCAAGTAAAACACGATCATTCATTTTAGTCCAATGATTTTTTTTATTCACAGAAAAAACGTGAGTTGGGCTTGAAACTGGCTAAATTCCCAGTTACACCGTATACAGCTCCTGAGCTCCTTAGATTGACTCTTTTAAACGAAATCCCATCAAATCATGCTAGAACAACTATATTGGAACAATTACGAAATCATGATGCTCCAGTCACCGATCCTAATGTAAGTGTCAAAATGTTTCTTGTACGTTATTTGGCCTGCTTGAGCAAGTGCAAGATATGATGTTATTTTCAGATTATTGATTTGAGTCTTAATCTATGATAAAAACATGAGTAACTTTAATACTAACCCTTATGTTCCTTAAGCATTAAATAAGTACAAATAATACAACAATCAAAAACGAATATGGTCCCTTGTAGAAATCGTCTACCGATAAATCGAATAGTATTGGATGACTCATTCACTACAGGGTAACAGTTAAATAACAAAACAAAGACTAAAGTTTAAGGTCAAGCCAGGTTATACTGTTGATTGGATGAATCGTTCATTTTTCAAACAATAAATGTACTAATTCTTCCCAGTAATTTGAAGTTTTTATCGTTCTGAATACAATTATAATGTATACAAATATCAGCTTCCATCATACTGAAATTTCCTTGCAAATTGGGTTTGTATTATATTCTGGTTTCCACAATCTTGGGGTTCATCCTCAAAGTATAAGAATTTAGTCCTGTTTCTGAATCAATGGATCTAGGACAATGTAAGAAACAAAAATGCACATTTACACTGAGTAACATGTATTCTTATTTGATCTCGTTAAGTTATCAGTTACTTACAGCCTTTTGCAGAAGTGAAGCTGAACAAAAGTTAATGTTAACATGTCAATCTAAGTGAACTTGAGTGGTGTTATAGGCATGTATGTAGTTGCCAGTTTCTTACATCAGGAAATAACACTTTCTTAAAGTGTCTAGAAATAAAAACTTGATTAGTGATCAAACAATCCAAGGAACAGCTTCTTTAGACCGGTCAAAGAGTCTTATTGAGTGTAGTCCTTGTTATGTTAGCTCTATACTCTAAAAGCTTTACCTCAGGTGACAAAAACTAGAAGGGTGTTGTGTTTAGCGCCGATCTTCTGTAACTCGCCCCTTCGGACATGGAAAAGGAACCACTGCAGATCTTCGCTGTTTCAGGCAAACGCTTTGTTATGGTCACACCATAGAACGATCGGGAGTACCATTTTGCCACGGGACCTTAAGTTTCTGCTTCTAATCATATATTCCACCAACGGATTGGTTTATATAGTACGATCTAAAGAAACAAGTATTCCAGTCACCATAACTCAGTTTGGCCGTCAAGATAGACAACTCCGATCACGGCTGCGGATGAGCACCTTTCATGATTTTCGTGACATCCTTACCCAAGGGTCATAATCATCCCTGTCTTTTCCGAATCTTGGTGTATGTACACCGTCGGGACGACTATGTACATTAACATAGTGGAGCAAGGATCCTAAGAATCTATATCGAATAAAAAAATTACTCTTAATTATCGTTTCTGAGGAATACCTCTGGAAAATACATTAAAACGCTTACAAAAACCCTTTAGGTTTGAAGTAAGCCGTTACTCAATTAATTGGGAATAAAATATTTATTGGTATGAGCTTAATTGAATAAAGTAACTCCTTAGTGTGAACTAGGAAAGAGTTTAAAAACACTAATCATTTACAAAGAAAATTGAAGGGTTAACTCATTTAGAATTGAATCAACCATTGTTCTCATTCAACGTTAATCTATCAACTAATTAAATGAATTTTTCAGTTTAACATAATTATTTTTCTCAGTAGCTATTCAGGCATGATAACTTCGGTTTCTAATAAATTCAGTTTCATACTTGATAAATTGCAGTTGTTGGACCGTACAGGGTTTTATAGAAAAACTTCAAATAATTGCTCCTATAATTAGTTTTCGACCCGACTGTTGCCTCTGCCTCGACGTAGTGATCGAACTTACCTATCGTGATCAAACAATGGGACTATACTGGTTGGAACAATTGTTCCTCAAGGTTCTAACATGCCAGGCAAGTCAGTTGACGAACGGTAAGATTGAAAACAGCAAACCCGAGGTCTGAAGGCGAAGTCATACTGCTGACTATACAGAGGCATGACGACAGTAAGGTGTTTCTTCCAGAAAACCAGCATGACAGCAGTGCTGTCTTCCCACAAAGGAAGGGTGGGGTTAGAATAGATCAACCCTAAAAATGCACACCTCTCCTTATTCCACGGATATCAGTCTCCGGCGGTAAGGTCTCAACAAGAACGGAGCTAATACGAAAACTGCCCACGAAAAGATAGTATGTGACCGACCTCAAGCAGTTGTTCCTTTGGCACTGCGGTCACGCTCTCAGGTCACTAAGATCAACTCTAACCCAATTTCCCTCGTCAAGGCTGTCCACTTTCTCAATTTTTTTAACTTTATCATGCACATGCTGATGGAGATAAGGCTCTCGTCGACTGAATTTTCGGGCATTGGTCTCCTACCAGGATGTCCACTTATCGACTGAGAATACGCAGATGATACAGTCCTGTTTGGTCAAGACGCTGATAAGATACAGTCTTTTTATAGCACTGAGTGACAATGCCAGGATTTTGGGGATGCGCTTCTTCCCCTCTAAATACAAGTTGTTGCTTCAGCACTGGTCTATGTCAACACCTGAACTAAGGATAGGGAGTGAAGTAGTCGAACGCGTTGACAACTTCACTTATCTTGGGAGTCTGATCAGCCCTAATGGGTTGGTGTCTGACGAAATCTCAGCACGGATTCGAAAAGCTCGTTTGGCTTTTGCCAACTTACGTCACCTATGGCGAAGGCGAGATATCCGTCTATCAATAAAAAGACGAGTATACTGCTCGGCAGTTTGTTCTGTTTTACTTTACGGCTGTAAAACGTGGCCATTAAGAGTAGAAGATACTCGTAAGCTACTAGTATTTGACCACAGATGCCTCAGAAATATTGCTGGCGTCTGCTGGGATCACCGGGTAAGTAATAGTGAGGTTCGACGCAGAGTATTAGGGAATGATGGTAAATCAGTTGATGAGGTTGTAAATCTTCATCGACTGAGATGGTTGGTCCACGTGTTGCGTATACCTGAACACCGATCACCACGATGCGCAATGCTGATTAGTATTTGGAATGGTTGTAAGTGCTGTTAGAAGTATGAGGGTTGTTATGCACTCTCTGCCTTTCCTTAGAGTATGAGATTAAAATTGCTTCGTATTTTCCTACGTACTAATTCTTTCTTCCTGTTCTATATCGTTATATGCAATCTTTCTTCCATATATTACCACCATTGAATTAACTACTATGAATTCGGTGCTCATCTTATTGTGCTAATGAGGTATGGCAACTTAGACCGATGCATGGATGTGCCTGGTCCTACGTTGTAACTGACCTCAAAGTAAAGTGCAAGAGTTTTTATTTAGGAATTTAGACTAATATATTTCACAAATTATTTATTTGCAAAGGGAAGTACGGTTTAAACATGGACACTGAGATGCAGACAAATACAGCTGACGAATTTCAACCACAACGAATAGTGTTCCCTAACTTCCACTCACAACCGCAATTCAACTCTGCTTTGGAAGGAAACATGGTTTTCATTTTAAACACTTGTGATAGGCTGCGTTTTCTGTATATATTCTTTTCTTTTATATAATTACTTTCGATTGAGTGTATATCTAGAATACCATTCATTTTGTATTCAAATTTTTAGCCATTTGACCAGAATTCTGTGACACAACTTATACACCACTTATCCAACTCTGATCTGCATGAACTGTTTCCAGAAATACGTGTAATAGCGTTGGAATGGGCAGTGGATAAAATTTTCGATCTTGATCTTATAGATGATCATATTATGGCATGTCAACGTCGTGCAGCTGATGCTTGGCAAAGGAAAATTCAGGTATTACGTGATAAAAACTTACGAAAAAAAGACAAAAAAGATAATGCAAATGAAGCTAACAAAGCCACCAGTAATAATAATAGCAATAATATATCTACTAATCAACTTGATGAGTCGAAGTCTAAAGCAGACACTCCTACCGCTACTGCTGATGATATCACAGATTCTGAAAGTAAGTTGTTTCTAAAAATAATTTACTCGCTTGTTTAAATGAAAAAATAATGTAAAAGTTAATCACAGCGTAATAGAACATTTGACTTACATATCTGATTAAAATAAATGTGAAGCAAACACTTTAAAATGTAACTATTGACTATTTCAGATGACTTAGCATCAATTGTAAAACGCAGACGAATTCTAGCTGCACGAGCAGCAATAGAAAAGGAAGAAAAAGAAAATCTGGAACGTCAGCGCCGTCTGGAAATGGCTCAAGAACATGCTGAAGAACGTGCAATTAATACAGTTAGTCGACTTCATGATATTCGGTCTACAGAAGCGAAATGTGTTCTACGAAACAACCCTATTGGTTATGATAGATATTATCGTCGTGTTTGGTATTTCCGTTGTTCTCCGGATCGTTTGTTTTTGGAGGCTAATTGGGCTTCCTCAAGTATCATGTATTCGGTTGATTCCTTTAGAAGTAATTAATATTTCCTTAATATATTAATTTACGTAATTATTTATTTATTTGAACACATAAATATTGGTACAAAGGGGCACCAAATACATATGTGTCACACAAATCGAATGATTCGTGTGAGGGCTGTAATACTGCCCGGGCTCCTAAACTGAAACAGGCGATTTTCTTAGGTGGCCACTCCCCGAGCCTTTGACCTGGAGGTCTAACCCACGAGGCAGTGGAGCAACGCTAGGAGATACAGTCCCATGGTAGCCGGTGACCACCATTAGGTTCATGCACCATTTGTTTCCTTAGGATCCTGACAGTTGCTGTATACTCGAGGTCGTGTGGAAGTATTTTGAGAAGGAGAGCTGACTCTCCCCACTCTCGGCCGTACCAGGGCCTTTGGGGGCAATTTACGTATCGATATGATACATTTAAGTGGTTTACTGCAATTTACTTTTTCATAGTTTCTCCATACAATCTAGAATTTGGCACGCTTTTTGTTTGTAGAAAATGAATCTGTCCCAATTACCACTTTGAGTGATGAAACAATACCACAACCTGCTCATGATTTTGTAAAAAATGGCACATTGAACAGTGGAACTATTTCAAGTTCCTGGAGTAATTGGTATTTTTATGATCGTCCTGAACAGTTAGATGAATTGTTAAATTCATTGCTAACTCGCGGTGTTCGAGAAAGTCATTTAAAAAGTCAGTTATTGGCAGATGGATTTCTGGAGTCACTTAAAAAAAGATGGAGAAGTGGTCTCTCAAATGAATTGGTAATTAAAGCTGACACGACGAATGGTACTCCTATAAATGTAGAAAAACATCCATCTCATCATAAACGGTAAGTTTTGGATCTCTTATGGTACCATGGCTAGTTATCTATTTATTTCATTTTTTCAGCATAAACGTTAAAAATTATAATAACTATCTTAAATATCAACACGTTTCAATGTTTTACTTCAATACGGATATAGTTGTAAATAGCTGATGATAAACCATGAAGTGAAAAGAATTCGTATTATTCTGGCTTTATTCAAATTTCTGTACAGGGACTAATTATATGAAACATAAAATTTAAGTTTAGTTATCCGAAACGTTTTGCATTTTCCACAGAGTTTTCCTGTCATTTTTCTATTTTAAAACTATTTTCTAGTCTAATATTCATTTTATAGGGCACTAGTAACTAAGTCTGTGCATGTGTATACGGGTTCTGGCAAATTGTATTACTTGTAGTCGTTTATCAGTTGCTTAATTGACGGGACAACAGTCTATGCAGTCTCGAATTAAAACAACAATTTATCAGTACAATTTGTTCTATTTGATTTCACATCCCAAAAGTCAGTGATAAGAAAAGGGAAAACAGTCTAGCTATGACATGCTAAAACTAAGGACTAATTCTGTCTTTTTTCTTCGTTCTTGAATAGGTTGATGTTTATCCCTCGTAGTCAATGCCCGTTGATGAGGATTTGTTTGACAGCTTCGAGTTCACCTGATTGATTGCCGTGGTAGACCCTAATTTTCAGTCAGTCTATGAATACAGTGTTCTTGAGTGCTATTAGAGGTATAAGGGCGGTTATCACTTCCCGGTTGCCCACACTGTGGTAAGGTTCTTCTGGAGGTACCTTGTTGAGACCTTACCGCCGGAGACTGATATCCGTGGAATAAGGAGAGGTGTGCATTTTTAGGGTTGATCTATTCTAACCCCACCCTTCCTTTGTGGGAAGACAGCACTGCTGTCATGCTGGTTTTCTGGAAGAAACACCTTACTGCCGTCATGCCTCTGTATAGTCAGCAGTATGACTTCGCCTTCAGACCTCGGGTTTGCTGTTTTCAATCTTACCGTTCGTCAACTGACTTGCCTGGCATGTTAGAACCTTGAGGAACAATTGTTCCAACCAGTATAGTATTGTGAATCGCGAGTTGGCTACTCTAAATTCTACCGATTGACTAGCTTCAGATATCCCAGTTCGACCCCAATACTGTTCCCAGTCTCCAATATATCAGAACACGAACCGTAGATGAAAAATCGTTTATGGGGTCAGGAGCAGCAGAATAATGATTTACAAACAAATGCATATTTATACAGTTAGGATTACTATAAATATTGACCAACAGAAAGATGACACGTTAAATAATATTGACTAATAGGAAAATGACACGCGAAATAAATATTGATCAGTAGGGAAATGACACCATTTAACGTTCCAGGGTAGCGTTAGACTTAACCGGATAATTGTTTTTGGGATATTCTTCTGAGTATCCCAACATATAGTCCCATTGTTTGATCACGATAGGCAAATTCGACCACCACGTCAAGGTAGCAGTGACGGTCGGGGACACTAATTTTACACAATTTCAATTTAATTTGTAATGGTTTAGTTTTCTATGAAATATTTTTCTATTATAGCGATCTTCCTGCTGGAGCCGCTTTGGCAGGAGCATTGTTAAAAGTAAGTTTGATTACTTTTAATATGTGATTATATTAGTTGAAGATGTTACTTATGTTTGTTTTTATTCATTGGTAGATACAAGTTCATAAAATGGTGTATTTTTCAAATAATTTTCTCATAATTTATATATGATAGGTTTTCATTGTTAGTCTCATATGCACCGTAGAACGCTATACACTTACATCAGCTCAAGCTACCATACCACATAAGGACGTCGAGATAAAATTATCAAGATAAATGTTAGAGTGATAGAAGGAGTAGTACTAGTATCAGTAGTAATGAAAAAGATTAGGTGTAGGCCAAAAAAGTACGAGATTTCAGGTCTGAGGTTCTAATAGAAGGAATGAATGCACCTGCGCCACCCAATTTCTATCCACTGGTTATGACAGGCGTGTGGTCCCCAACCAGGTAATCTCCATCTACCTACATGACTCAGTCCAGCAGCCGATGACTTCGTAAACTGATAAATGTCTTGATTTGCCTGTCGTTAGCTTTCTCCCAGCGTACTACTACATTTGACAGCATACGTAATACATCTCAGTCACCTCAACATTACCTACTCATTCGCTCCACGATGTAAAAGAAATATCTCGAAGACACTTGCAATCAAAAACATGCAGCCGGCGCATGTCTTCTATATTTATGGTCTGTTTCATAGCCATAGACTAGAACGCAGTACACTCGCCCTTACGTTAGCAAAAGGATATTTTGCCGACTCCGCAAGTTGGAACAGTCCAACCGATCTTTCGGAATCTTTGTCGACAATTCTTCAGATACCAACTTTATTATTAGCTTCTACACAGGTTATTTGGCTAACAGTGCTAATGATACCATCTGATTCCCTATAACAAGATATGTAGAGTGGAATCGGAACCTGAACCTGGCTGAAAGGCGAACATCAACGCACTCAACTACTTCACTTCCTATCATTAGTTCAGATGTTGACTCAAACCAGTCCTAAAGCAATTTGAGTTTAAAAAGAGAAAATTTAAGTTCGGACGTGCTTACATTGTTGTTCAAGTCTATTAAAGGGCTTCATCACCAAAGTGTTCAGTGCAATAATTATATATACACGGCCGAAAAAACATAGATTTTTCGTTTGTCATATATTTAAAGTTAAGTTTAACTGGGATTAATGTGGAAAAGCTTCAGAACTCTTATGTAAGGAGCTGATATTTATTTCTGCTGAAATACAGTGGACAAAAATCTCCGAAAAGGTCTCTACAAATACTTTATTATAAATGTCAATCCATTTGAAAGAATGAAATATTGTACCGCGGAGCTATGTGTTAACGAATGCGCTTCATGTACGGCACGAATAGTCCACAATAGATCAAGTAAATAAATTTTACCTATTGAGTCATTACGGATTTGAAAATGAAGTAAAGAAACCAATTCTATTGAAGGTCATAGACACGTGACTATAAATACAGATTGCTAGCATTTTGTACGTAATATTATCTGTACTTTGCTAACCAAGTTGTCGGTTGATAAGTGAATTGTCTTTAACATTTATATTTTGTCTGCAATATACTGACATTATGTAAATAGTCTCTATCAGAAGTTCTAATTTATTTTTAGAATATTTTAGATACTGAGGTTCGTCTAAGATCCGGTGGTCTCGGTGGTGTACCAGATTTTACAAAATGGCAAGAGCGTTTAGCACAAATACAAGAATCCTATGGAATCCAACAAGAAACTCTTAATGTAAATTTGTCTTCAAAACCAAATCTGTCAGCTTTATCCAGTCTATGTGAATTGCCAAATAAAGCAGGACTTGCTATTGCTCTTATTGAAGTAGCTGAAAATATAATACCTCGCTTTTTAAACGTTCCTGATCTTTGCACCAAGTCAAAATTCAACTCTAATCAAAATGGAACAAATGATTGTCATGATCTAAAAACTTCCTTTCCAGATCATGTACCATTTTGTAGATTTTCATCTGGAGAAGATTCAGACGCATCTGAAAGTAATGATCGTTCACAAGAACTGGAGAAAGCTGTTTTAGACCCTGAAGCTCATGAACTACGAACTCGTGCTTGGATGACAGCTTGGCGTACTGAAGTTCAAAATGCTCGTACACTGACCCGATTAAATCTCTTACATGTAATTCTGTGGAAAGCTCGATTTAGTTTAATTATATCTTCCTTTAATTTTATTGTTGTGGATAATCAAAGTAAATCTTATTGAGTTATAAGTTCATATCAATTCTACACAGTTCAGTTGAACTAATTAAGCGACTAATGAATAGTTGAAGTGTATGTTACTTATGCGGACAGACATACGTAGTATGTAGCAGGGATTAGAAGTAAAATACTTATCAGCAGAAGATCGAAATAAAGAGGAGAGGAAAAAAACAGAGAGCAAATAGAATAACTACAGGATTAGAAGTATGAGTGATGATGTAAAGAACAACTCAAGATAGATGTGCAGATGATGTATTTTATGTATGATTTTCATATTTTACTAAGTCACTGTGTAATTTTGCATGGAACAATAAATTGGTTTTCCCCATTACCCAGTAAAAGACAACAGTAGTTTATCACTGGGGTTATGTACTTGGTTATTTATTTATATATTTACTTAAACACATTGATATTGGTACAAGGGGGCAGCAGATGCATATGCGCCACAAACCTCATTTGATTTGTATGAGGGCTGTGACACTGCCAGGGTGCTCAAACCGAAGCAAGTGGTCTTCTTAGGAGGGGCCACACCCGAAGCCTTCGACCTGAAGGTCTGATCCACAAGGCAGTGGAGCATCGTCAGGAGATGCATTCCCATGGAAGCCGGTGACCAACGATTGGTTCATACATCATTTGTTCCTTCAGGATACTGGAAACCATGTGCACCATTTGTTTGGAATCAGGGTTTTCCAACTCCCTTAGGTGGACTCTCTATGCCTATTAACCCAGTTAGAGCGCCGGGCATTCGCTTTTCGTTATCTCAATTTCGTAAACAACACCCCCGTCACGAGAAGGCAATGAGTGGAACTTCCCTGGCAGAGGCTATATACACATGGCCATGTGAGAGCATTTCGAGAGGGAGGGCGGACTCTCCCTACTATCGGCCGCACCAGGGCATTTGGGGGCTATGTACTTGATGACAAAGTGATTATTATTATCATTGAACACTTGTAGAATTTTTTCATCCTAATATTAACTTGTGTTACTATCTTCTTTCAATATGTAAAAAGATTTTGTAGCGTTAACACACTAGTTCACACATTTCAACCAACCGGTCACTTAGTGGTTTTGTTCATACAACCTTGTAAATAGTTTTACACAAGGGATGTTTGAAGTGTATATCTGCGTTTGTGATTTATTTATTCTTAAATCTGATGTGTTTTTTCTTTAGTAAAATTATTTTTTCGTCTGATTATTATCAATATTTCAAAAAGCGTATTTCGCAAATAACTAAGGCTATGTCCATTGTTATACTATACTAACAAACAGATACCATCCTTTTTATGAACATACACAGTCCATTCGCTACTTTGTTTTAAGTACTGATGCGTATCTCCAAATCACCCGTGGATGATTAGGTACTTAGTGTTCTTTAAGTCCTGATTAACCTGCTTTGTCCAGTGTCAATCATATATTCCGATTGTTCACATTCAGATAAATTCTATCTGTAATATATCAAGCATTCATGACAAAATATTTTACAGTTTTACCAAACAATAATAAGCTATCCTCAATACCTAAGCAGTATATTTTCAAAAATTCCAATTATTCAACAAACATTCTGTCTACTAACCGGGAATTTTAAACTACGTTTCGCGGGAGGTTAATATTTTGCATGATGAAAAAATTCTTGTCCCTTTTAATGTGATTTGCATTCACTTCTTTATAACTAGGCATGTCTGGATGCATGTGTTCGCTGGGAAAAGTCAGTGGAAGATGCGCGCTGTCGTATTTGTCGTCGGAAAACAGATGATGATAATTTACTACTTTGTGACGGTTGTAATCTTGCTTTCCATCTCTACTGTTTACGTCCACCATTAAAACGTGTACCAACAGGTGATTGGTTCTGCCCGACATGTGGACCGGCCTCCCGTGCCCTTGAAAAGCGTAAGCGTGAAGAACGTTTAGCTCGGTCTGCAAGACGACGAAAACGTGCTTTGTCATCTGATGATGATGAGCAATTAAATTCCGATAATAATGAAGAAAGTAGTGGCGAAAGTGAAGCTACTCAAAAAATCAAACGTCGAAATCCCCGTTCATTTCGATCCAAAGGCGGTAATGACTCAAGTGCGTTCAATATAAAACGTTCAATTAGTCCAGCCAATCGTAATTCAGGTAAAATTTCCTTTTTAAACTGTCTGTATTCTGTGTTTTTGATTGATATTAATTCTGTATTTGTTTTCTTCAGTTTCATCTAGAAATATCAGACACGATACATCCTGTCTTGTTTGTTCAGATTCAATTGGTGATTTGGTTCTATGTTCCAACTGTCCCAATGTATTCCATCTGGACTGTCATGATCCCCCATTGCACCATATTCCACGTGGAGATGGTTGGCAGTGTTCAGTTTGCCGGTCGAATAAAAAACGTTCTACTATTACTTCTTATTTTCAAAGCAGAGATTATCGTCGGAAAACGTGAGTACTACTGTATATCATTATTTCATTAATCACCTTATTAATCTAAAATTCACTAATGTATGGAATTATAACGATCGGTTATATGACTTACATATCGTTTCTTAACCAGAATATCACCTTGTTTCACTAGATAAAACCACATTTGTGAGTACAGTTTTTTTGTAAGATAAAAGGTCCAACTAATCAATTAAATGTAAACTAATTATTGTCTTTTTCATTTCGGTAATTCATTAGTGTGAACTAAAAATCAGTCCACTAATTTTTATTTCACTCGCTTTTTTCTGCTTATATTTCCGTTCCATATTCCGTGTTTCTTCATTTATTTATCTATAGTTATCAAGCAATTTTCAAGAAACGAGCTGTCAGTCCAGATGAACGTAGCGAAGATGAACTTTTAAATAGTACATCTTTTACTCGTTCAACACGAAGTAACAATAGATCTCGAAGGAATATCGCAATGTCTGACACTGATGATGAACAACAATCGAGTGAAGCATCTTCAGATGTAGATATCCGCTCTAATAATCAACGTCCAATTTCCCGTCGACGTAGTGCTTCACGATCAGCGTCTGCTCTTAGTTCACAACTAAATAAATATCCAAAACGTAGACGACGACACTTGTCTGATCAGGAGGATACTTCAGAAACAGAACAAATGGACGAAAAGTCTCAATCTTTATGTTCACACATTCTTGATGCTGTGTATAAGCACAAACACTCATGGCCGTTCAGAAAACCTGTTGATAGAAGCCAGGTAACGTTTTGAATGTTTTCCTTTCATTATAGGCATTCTTTTTGGCTGTCAATTCCATGCATCTTTTCGTCATCAGTAATTTTTAATTCACTTCGTATAAAATGCATTTACGTTTTACAAGTTCACGAGCTCCTGTTGTCTTGTGCGTTTCCAAGTGTTTTGTGTGCCAGTTAAAGCCACAATCATATTTCATTTCAATACTACTATTCTAAATATGTTATGGGAAAGTTTGTTGTGGAATGAGGTGTAAGTACTACCTTTTCATTCCATCGATTTTTTTCGGTCTTCTAAAAAGTTGGTTTTCATATTACTCCTTAAAGAGATTGTTTTTTGATTAAAGAAACAACATTGTTGTTTTTTATGGTTTGATTCTTTCACTTTCATGTACCTGATTCTTGACGAACCAGGTGTGGGAAGATAGAAGATATAGATTAGATTCGATGCTTTACTGCCAAAGTCGAATTATATGCTGAACTCGTGTCTGTTTGTGGGATCCCGTAATAAACTAGTCGATGATACAATAAAAAGGGCTGGTTTAATAATTCACCTACTAAAGCTTCCTCACATATATCTTTCACTGTGTACCTTTGTGGTAACTGAGTTTATCCTGTATGTAACAGTACTCACAGCTTTCATCCTATAAAGTTCGTTTGTATCTTCGATGATTTTTATTAGTTTCTATCATTCATGTCGTTTCAATTTATTATCAACTGGATTCATTATTCCCGTTAGGTTCCCGATTATTATGAAATTATCACAGATCCTATCGATTTGTCCATGATGCGTGATTGGCTTTCTGAAGGACGGTATAACACGGAAACTACCAGCGCAGGACTGAAGAAACTAGTACATGATCTAGGTACTATGTTTTATAACGCCGAATTATATAATGCTGCTGACTCAGACGTTTGGTTAGCTGGAGAGCAGTTAGAAAAATTCGTGAAGAATCAGTTCGCTCATATAAACACAGGTGCGTTTTTGTATTCTGTTTGTTTGGTTTCAAAGTCCCGAAAATGTGCTTTTATTTTGTTTTATTATACCTCCTTCTTACTGTTGTGTGACTCTACTTTTGGTCACTATTACTTAGATTAGGCGAAAAACGAATTCACAGGTACATTTGCATTTTGCACTTGAGTTGTTACTCAGTAATCTAGTTACTTAACTTTCTACCACTACATTTTCTTCAGTCAAACAACATAATTTACTCCTCATATAAAGATTAAAGTAACCAAGTACCTAGCTTTTTAATTACTTCATGTGAAGGTTAGTTTATACTACCCTATCTATCCATCAGATGCAAGCGGGGCAGAATCCAAACCTCCAGGCCAGTGGATAACGTCAATTGCTTCAACCATTAAGGTGTTCGTACAACGTAAAATTTAAAGCCTGATTTATAAGTTGATAGTTTTTACATCACTATTGTCTATCCTTTTATATGAAGCTCATATGTTGTCTTTCCAGTATATTTAAAAATAATCATTTTGTATTTATGCTAATAAATCCCGCAATCTTTGTTGTTATCAACAGTAATCTTTATATTTCGTGCATCACTCCGATTTCTTTCTAAAAAAACGTTTCTAGAATAATTACCCCATTAACGAGCCCTATTAGTCACTGAGTTAAAAAGTGAATCGATATTCCTGATTATAGTTGTTAACTTGTCTGGTTGGCTTATCTTGATGATTCATCGAGCTTTATTGGTTGGAATACTTATTCCTTTAGTTACTACAATGTCAGACTGGTTCATTGAAGAAAGCAGAACTTCAGGTTCCGACGGCGAATTTCGTACTGCTGACTGTATTAAGGGGTGTGTTGATAGTGAGAAGTTTTCTACAAATAACCATGGTCTACAGCGGTGTCACCTCACAATGGAAGCAGTGAGTTGGAAAATGTCAGTCCTACAAATAGCACACTCGTCTTCTGTGGTAACGCATTTAAAGTACAGAGTTAACCTATCAAGAAGTACACGCGAAAAGAATGTGTATTGTAGGCCTCAAACAATTGTCCCTTGTGCTCTTTGATCATGCCTCAAAGCGTGAAAATAACTCTAGTAGTCAAGTTTTCATCGTTAGGTATCTCAAGAAGAAGCGTCGTTTTACGGTGTAGGGAATCGGGAAGTGGTGATCGCCTGTTCACCTGTAGAAAGTACTTGAGTTCATTTTTTTACAGTCAACTCCTTTCGTTTGACTGCGTTGATATTGTTATCACATTTTTCCAGTTATTGTGTCTTCTAAGTACTCATTCTAAACTGACTGATCCCAACTGTGTTAGTATACTGTTTGTTATTCAAGTGAGCCTATCTATAATAATTTCTTAGGTTGTCGGTATATCAGTTACTTTATAAAGTGGATTTTTCTCTTGGAATCTCTTTAGTGTATTCATTTGAATACTTGCTTTCTTTTTTGAAAAAAACGCTCAAGTTTTTACCTTGTTATTGCAATATCTTTTTTCCTCTTTCCAAAGTTATTCCACTGAATTATACTCTTTAAATAACATCTCCAAACCATAAGCTTCCCGATTACTGCTTATACTCTTGCTACCTCTACCACTACGGGATTTGAATCGACAACTGCATCTCTGTGCTAATGTGGTGTGGCAACTCGAACTGATGTACGTACGTACGAAGTTCTACGTTGTTACTGACTGACTGAATATTTATAAACATTTTCTAGTGGCATCTGCACTTCATAAAACATCAGAAATATTTAGAATCAGTAAGCTTGAACCAACAAAGAAGGAATTCATTTCATTAGAATTTGTCTTAGTAATTTAAAGAAGTAGGTAGGCGATTATAACTTCATATTTACTTGACAGTAGTGGTGTGATCTTCATACTCGTGAATATGAACTTTTCAAGTAAATGGAATGTTAGTTTATATTTTTTTATCAACTACTGTCGTTGAATCTATGTGCTCATAACTGTTTTAACGATCGTGATCACTTGTAATGTTCTAAATATGATATAATATGACTCACCATATGTTATTACTTGGTGATGAAATACATTTAGATTCAATTTTGTTAACCATATACTAATATCTTGACTAAATGAATTTGCTAAGCAAACAATCACTGTCAGAATAAATTTTCTGTTCTCCAAGGTCCAATGAGCATACGGGAGTCCAACACTTGATCTCCTTATATCTCTGGCTTTAAAATTCATTTGATTTAATGCATGAATTACAGAATCAAAACACACCACAAATAAGAAATAGCGTGTAACATAGAACACAAATTTGGAAAGCAGTAATAATATTCATATGCTTAATCTGATGTACATTGGGAACAGAGTACGATAAGACACCAATTAATGATTGAAATGAAACCTTTTAATTTGGGAAATGTAGAAATTACATGAATTAAATGCTACATTATGAAATAGGTGTAATGATATCTTGAAAATAACTTTCAAAGTTTGTCTTTGTCATTTTTTACTTGTCTCATCTCACCCCAAATGCCCTGGTACGGCCGAGAGTGGGGAGAGTCCGCTCTCTCTCTCAAAATGCTATCACATGGCCACGCGTATATAGCCTCTGCCAGGGAAGTCCTACTCACTGCCTTCTCGTGGCGGGGGTGTTGTTTACGAAATTGAGAGGACGAAAAGCGAATGCCCGGCGCTTTAACCGGATTGCAAACCAATGGTGCACATGGTCTCCAGTATCCTGCGGGAACAAATGGTGTATGAATCAATTGTTGGTCACTGGCCAGCATGGGACTGCGTCTCCTCACGATGCTCCACTGCCTTGTGGATCAGACCTTCAGGTCGAAGGCTCGTGGAGTGGCCCGCTAAGAAAACCACCTGCTTCACTTTGGGCACCCGGGCAGTATGACAGCCCTCACACATATCAAATGAGATTTGTGTAACGCATATGTATTCAGTGCCTCTTTGTACCATTATCTATGTGTTGAAATAAACATCTCAACCATTGTTCTTCTGTCTGTTTTTTTTGTCTATATTTTTCGTTTAGATGTTATCTACTCTAGACCAGCACTTGGTGATGCATGAATATGAATAATCGTATTTTGGTGAAATTATGATGGATATTTTTTTGTGTGTGGAAATATCTGTTTTTGAATCATTTGTGTACGCATAAAAGCAATAATCTAAGTCAAGTTTTGATATATGTGTGTTTATACTGTCTTCTGTTATTAAAAACAAACTTACAATGACTCGATTTAAACAATACACATAATCTTCTTATTCATTTTTATTATTATTATTATTTTGACTATCAGCTTATTCTCTATTTGTCTTTTTTATTTTGTCAGTGGATATTCTAAGTGTATGCATTTACAATTTAGAAAGAGAGAATTATATATATCTATCTATTTTCTAGTGTGTTTTTGTTTCAAACTTTTTTTTTAAGAAACAAATTATTTATTTAAGTAAAGTTGTATTCGAATTAACAACATTCAGTGAAACAGTTTTGAATATGTATTTTTTTTCGACTTTTTTCTTTTCTTTAAAAATCATCGAATCACTTGTGCTCAACATTGTCAATGTGTGCTTCCTTTGTGTATATGATTGATAATTGTTCAGTGACTTCTCTTTCTCTTCCCCTCCTCTCTCTCTCTCTCTCTGGTTCTCCCTTTTCTTGTGTCACATTCTTCATGATATAGATGTGCAGGTTTGTACAGCCTTATTGTACACTTTCTCTCTCTCTCTCTCTCTCTCTCTCTCTATATATATATATATATATATATATATATATATATATATATATGATTGATTCTTGTAAAGGTATATTTTATTTGTCCCTTTTTATGTATATTTGTGTCACAGTAATAATTTGTCTACAATATTGTCATGACGTATTGATAATGTAACACACATTTGTTGAACTACCTTCTTAAAAAATTAGCTTGATTTTTAATAAACAAAGTATTCCTATTATTATCGGTTGTGAATTAATGAAAAGATGGTATATACACATATCATTGTTATTTTTGGCATTTATGTCTTATTGCAAGAAATTAATAGTGTAATAGAAATATCTGGAAAAAAACTAGCGGATTTAAATTAAATAGGCTTATAATATTGATAACTATTAGGTCAAAGTACTACACTACGTCAGGACTGCAACGTATGATCAGCTTTATGTCGTGTATTGAAGCATGAATATTATTGACAACATTGATGAATATGCTGTGAGCAAGGAGAAAATCAGGATCAGTGTACAGCTTTTACAATGTTACTATCAACAAGGTGAATGTTCTCAGATTTGATAAGCGCATAGTAGATACAATTTATCTTACTTGTAATGTATTGGACTGACTTAAGATTTGCGTATGTTATTTATTTATTTGAGCACATAAATATTGGTACAATGGGGCACCAGATATATATACACAACACAAAACAATGAAAATGGGGAGAGAAAAAAGAAGGTAAGGTGCGTATAAGAAAAAAAGTACAATAACGACCACAGATTAGTGTAAGGCAGTGTAGTAGTAATAATAATGGGGGAAACGAAAAGGTACAACCAGAAGAATTCTTTCAGTTAAGGAAGTTATAACCACTTTTTATGAAGAAAGTGAAAGAAGGTTGCAGCATGATCGCCACTGGCTTTCATTCTGAGCCATATCTGATAACGTCTGTGTTGCACCATCTCTTGGAACCCAGCCAGGGAGTCGTGAAGGACCAACACAAGCCAGCCCTTTGCAGCTTTTTTCACACCACGACACCATGTCATACGATGACCACCTCTTCGATTTTTCTAACCAGTCCCAGAGACGGCAAACAGTTCACGACGTGGAATTCTCTGGGACGACATTCGTAGGAAATGCCCAAGACACCGAAGTCGATATCTCAAGGTGCTGACACCAATTGGATTATCGTCTCTGCGCCAGAACCTCTGCATTACTAACATGGTACTGCCACTGGATGTCAGCAATCCTTCGGAGACAGCGATGATCAAACATAGAGAGTCGCCTAACATCCTCAACTCGGAGGGACTAGGTTTCACAAGCATAGAGCAAAACTGCTCACCGACGCGTAGATCCGATTTTTCATAGCCAGACTAACATCACGAAGGCGCCAAAGGTGACCCAGATTGGCATAAGCCGCTCTGCTTTCACTATTCGTGCATTGATCTGGTCACTCACACCCGCACAGGATTGGAATCCTGCCAGTCTTGTAGAAGTACTTTGCACTTCGAAGGTGCAAAGCACATACCATACCTACGGACACTGATTGCCAACTGATTAAGTGCGGATTGCGTGGCTTGGGCATTATCGCACAGTAAGACAATATCGTCCGCATACTCAAGGTCGAGAAGTCTTTCTCCAGGCAACAGATCCACACCACCATTACTTACATTCATCAGAGCTGTTTCCAGAATGTCATCGATGGCAAAGTTGAAGAGGAATGGTGAGTTTGGACAACCCTGTCTAATCCCACTGCTTGAATGGAACAATGGAGAAAGGTGGTTGTATGCCCTCACTCTGCCTGAGGTGTTTGTATATAGGGCCTTTTAGATGTGAATAAACTTCTCAGGCACACGCTTCTTCAATAGACAATCCCAAAGAACAGTCCTAACCAACGAATCGAAGGCAGGTCTGATGTCATGGAACACTACGATTGTTGACATGTGATAAGTATGACGGTGATCTAACATTTGGTGGAGGATGGAGATATGATCAATACATCCTTGACCAGAACGAAACCCAGCCTGCTTCTCGCGAGTCAATCTTCCTCGGGTTTTGAACAATCTGCGATGTATGACGGAAGCCAGTAGCTTGGATGCAATAGGAAGTAGATTTATCCCCCGATACTTGTTGCAGAAACGACGTGAATTCTTTTTAAAGATAAGGACAACTATCGACTCATTCCATAATCTTGGTATGCTCTCTAGTCCACAGACTTTTGTAAACAACACAGTCAGTTCCTTAGCCAGAAAATCACCATAATCTTTAAGAAGAGCCGGAAGTAAGTCATTTGGGCCAGGTGATTTGTAGTACCTCAGGAGCTAGAGTTCCTTGCGGACTTCCGCCTTATTTGGTGGATCAGTCGTCACCGGCCATAGAGGGAAGTACAGTCTGACTGATGTTGCCGGAGCAGCAGGCCAGTTGAACTGCCCTTCGAAGAATTCCGCTCATCGTCCAAGACGTCGATTGATGTTAGTGGTTGGCATCCCGTCATCCTCGCAGATTGTTTCACTCACACCAGAATTCTTGCGGTCAGTGGCTCGGATGAGTTGGAAGAGCTTCCGGTAGTTACCAGATGAGGCTGCCACTTCCAGCTCATTAGCACTCTCCGACCACCAGGTTTCTTGGTCCTTACGCAAGCTTTGCTGGATTTCATCCCGTAATAGCTTTCGTTTGTGGTGAAACTCACGGTCACCCGGACTAGACTGACGGGCTTCGATGAGTTGTAAAGAACCCTAAGAAACCCAGTGCTTATAAGCGGGATGTTTTGCGAAGCCGCAAGCGGCTTTACTCGCCATTTTCATGGCGTAATTAAGTTGCAACCAACTTGCTGACATCAATCCGTTCATGACGATCGATTCGTTGGCCAATGGAAAGTATGGTCAGATTGGCGCATACCAAAGCATGGTCAGAGTTCAGTTAGGTACTCCAAAAGGAGCGGCAGTCTTGTACACAACCACGCCAGCGGTAGCTGATCTCGATGTGATCAATCTGAGTCCAGGCTTGAGATGCAGAGGGAGGACGCCAGGTGGCACATCGGCGATGACTGTGCCGAAAGTTAGTGCTAGCCAGAAACAGGTTGTGGTCTGTGCACAGTTGCAGTAGACGGTTCCCGTTATCTGTCCTGCGACCAACGAATCCCCATCGGCCACCTAAACGACCTTCTTCTGTGCCTAGACGCCTGACCTGAGCATTAAAGTCTCCGGCTAGTACCACAATATCTGTCGAACGCACTTTCTGGAGAAGAACAGTTAACCGGTGATAGAATTCATCCCTGATTGCATCCGGGCTGCAATCTGTCGGGGCATAGGCGGAGATGACGAAAAGACATCGTTTCTCACGCCGATTTCTTCTCACTTTGATGGAACTCTCTAATCTAACAGTACATAACCGACTGTTAATGGGGATCCAATCGATTAGTGTTGCCTCAGCTGTAGCGCTCAGTGCGACACCAACGCCAGCAAGACCAGACGAAGACGTCACAGGGTCCCCGGATAAGCGCACGTAAAACAAGCTTTTCGGAGCGACAGATGGAGATCGAATTCGTAGTACTTCGCCAGAGTCTTGAATACGGGTCTCGGATAGACAACAAACATCAATATTAAGACTTTCCAAAGACATAACCAGCCCTATCTGTTGTCCGACTTGCATAAATGTGCGAACGTTGAAGGCAGCCAGTTTGAATGGTGCACGTGGTTTCAGAAAAACTGCCTCAGTATTCGTATTTGGTGGTAGCATACAATTTTCAACCAGGCAGTGACTCGAGAACGTTTAGACAGAACCGAGTTTCCACCATAAGCGAGCTAATGTATAAGTCGAAAAGTAAACATACACAAAGTGGGAATAAAAGAGAGTGAATAAGTGACGTAGTAAATAATAATAATGTGAATTTTTTGACTGATAATCGAAGCGTGAATAGAATTTTCAGTAAATATGGTCATTTCATTCTATTTGTGTGTGGGCTGTGATACTGCTCGGGTGCCCAAACTGAAGCAGGTGGTTTTCTTAGCGGGCCACTCCACGAGCCTTCGACCTGAAGGTCTGATCCACAAGACAGTGGAGCAACGTAAGGAGACGCAGTCCCATGCTGGCCAGTGACCAACAATTGATTCATACACTATTTGTTCCCGCAGGATACTGGAGACCATGTGCACCATTGGTTTGCAATCCGGTTAAAGCGCTGGGCATTCGCTTTTCGTCCTCTCATTTTCGTAAACAACACCCCCGTCACGAGAAGGCAGTGAGTAGGACTTTCCTGGCAGAGGCTATATACGCGTGGCCATGTGATAGCATTTTGAGAGGGAGGGCGGGCCCTCCCTACTCTCGGTCATACCAGGTCATTTGGAGGCCATTTTTGCG